GAATTATATTCTGGGGCGGCACACACAATGAAGAGGTCTTTAGAATCCAAAAGAGAGCAATTAGAATTCTAGCTGGACTAAGAGTAAATGAATCTTGTAGAGGATATTTCAAAAATCCGAACCTTCTCTCTCTAACAGCTGTATATGTGTTTGAACTATGTCTTCAAAAATAAATCACTATTTATACCTTATGGAAATGACCACTCGCACCACACGAGAAATAAGAATATATTCTGCTACCCTCAACATAAAACTACAGTCCTAAAAAAAGGCTGTTTTTATAAATGTCTAAAACTTTACAACTTACTTCCTGAAAACATAAAAGACATTAAAATGCACAATGTATTTAAACACAAACTAAAACAAATGCTCATTGCAGCTGAACCATATGGTTTGGAAGATGTGGATGAGGGCACTTTCAAGATATAACTGTCTCTAGTAATATGTTATATGTTGTTCGTAATCCTTTTAATGTTTTTAACAAAGCACTTCCCGATGTAATGGAATGAAAATGTGTACTATTCCTTTTGACTTGTACTATACAAACTTTGTAATTTGTCCCTTGTTCAAAGAGAACAAAATGCAAGCTTAGGCCGTGTTTGAATGGAACTTGAAGTTCCAAACATTTCGTCAACTAGTGCAGCAGACATTGTCAATAGTATATGCTTTGACTGCGAGATCTTGGCAATGACTTATGACAATGACCGAATATAACCTTCGACCTCGCGGTCAACTCGCATACTACTGATGATGTCTGCCGTAGTAGCAGACGAAACGTGTGGAACTTCAGGTTCCATCCGAACACGACCTACCAGCCCAGATTGTTCTCTTTACACACAATGATCAAATGCAAACGTTAACTGTTTTGTCTTTGTTTTTCACTTGTACCAGAAAAGGATGCTATTTGAAAGTATGTGTTTTATCGTGCCAGTTGATGATTATGTATGTGTAGTGATTCATAGTCCCAGGTGTACATGTCTTTCCTGTACATGGAAATTGACAGCTGTTGAAATGTTCGATCATTGTTTGTTTCAGAGTAAACCTCCGGTGAAACCCGTCAGCGAGGACGAGAATCAAGACGCCTGGGCCAGTCATCTGCCCCAGTTGCGGCAGTGGATCGAAAAGTACGAGGAGGCCGTAACGAACCACTACTCTCCCGAATTGAGGGCTCGAATATCGAGCATCCGAGTTAATGGTATCCATTCGGACGCGAGCGTGCAGTACGACACGACTGTACACAAGTGCCGCGTGCACACCCACCCGCTGACTGAAATCAAATTCCTCGTCGCCACTGTTAACCTGCAGCCGAACACGCCCGTCGTCGAACTGCGCGGGAAGTACATGCTGTCGACGCAGCATCGCGCCACAGGCGGATCATTGACGACGCGTCAGCACTCGCAGAGACCTGGTCCGTTTCTCTTCTTCTATCGGCTGAATAAGGACAACACGGAGGTGTGCGTCGATACGCGAACGTACGGCAACAGCGCTCGGTTTGTCAGGAGGTCGTGCCGGCCAAACGCCGAACTGCGGCACTGCATCGAGAAGGGCGTGCTGCACATATTCATCGTATCGATAGCAGTCGTGGACAGGAACTGCGAACTGACGATCAAGCACGAATCTCACGATTTGGCCGCGATCGGCACGACACGCATCGCGTGCGCTGGGGGGGAACCCATCTCGGATAAATGAAACTCGAATATTCCGGATTTATTTATTATTCGCCCAATAAAACATTATTGGGAACATGTGGAATGTAGATAAGTACATTACAAAACAGTAAAATAACTATCTATTCACTTCTGTTTCATATTGCATCCTCTTTTCCTCGCTGCAATGTTCCGCCATCTATTAAGAAAGAGTAGATCAGTTGCCTCTGTTTTCTGCTCAATATAAATTTAAGACTTTTCTGAAGCAGCAAAACTTTCTTGATGGAATGTCTTACTATCAGGCTCTTCATCTACCACTTCGTCATCATCATTGACTTCTCCGGTTTCCTGCAAGGCATCCGTTATTTTTTTCGATACTTAGTTCTTCTCTATGTTATCTGCTGTAATCTATTCAACAACATCTTGTCTTGTCACATTCTCGCAATCCTTTAATGCTCGTATTACTTCAAACAAACCTTTTTCTTCTTCCTTGATTTTCTCTGTATCATTGATAGAACCGGGACCTTCACGGATTTTCAATTTAGAAGCCAAATCAATCAATGGAATATCTTCTTCACTGTCATGAGAGTCCTCAGAGTCAATAACTTTTGACCGAGATTTTTGAATAGTAAAAGCGCGCACATAATCTCAAGCTTGACTTGCCCAGTACATAACATCGTTAAATCCAGAGCTCGGTTAAACGCGACTCGGATAAACGGGGTTCTACTGTATATCTCAATGCATCCAAATGTAAAGTAGTGTATTATAGTAATAAAATGTCAGTCATCGAGTACAATTATCGAGTAGATACCATTTCACTGTCACGAAGTAACTCAATTAAAGATCTTGGTGTGTATTTTGATCAAAATTTGTCTTTTTCCAACCTTATTAGATCGAAAGTAAGTGAAGCATTGAGAGTTTATGGCTTCATAATTCGCAATTGTACATCTTTTTCAAACATATCTGCTCTATTTACTCTTTATGTAGCCTATGTAAGGTCAAAATTAGAATATGGCTCTGTTATATGGTCTCCATTCTACAATTGCTATAATACATTAATTAAATTATTTTGAAGACACAGCAGGAAGAGGAGAAAGCGAAGAACAGTTTCTTCCAACATCCCAGATCTTGACTCTCCCAAAACTACTGATTCGTACATGACTTCCGGAGACGAGAACATGCTCTCGCCAAACGACAGCGTCCAGCAACCTAACAAAACACCTATAAAGGAGTGCTCGACCGACAACAGTGACAATAGGGCTGTGGGTCTGCTGCTCGCCCTCTCGAGTTGCGAACCTTCAATCAAGGGTGAGAAGTCCCCAGCACAAGACATTGATTCCAATTCGAATTCAGCCCACTCATCGCCCGAAACTCCTCTCTCTTCGGCTTGCTTGTTCGTGCAGGCAGCTGTAGAACCGCTGGAGCAGGGCTTCAAGTTCCCCAAGACAAAGAAGGGACTGATGAACGAGTGGCTCAACAAGGTACCACCCGAGCCCATGCAGACGGCTAGCGCGATGTCACCTTCGTCGTTGACGCCCCATATGGTGACACCAACTGAGGACGTAGGTAGCATGTACTCGCCAATGAAAAGCTTGACGGTGTCGTCGACGTCAGCGGATCTAAACCACCATCCGAGAGGAAGCGCGAAGAAAAGGTGGCTCCGGCAGGCCATCAGTGAGGATCATTCATGCGACAGTCCTTCAAGTAGGCCTGGTAAGTTTCTATATGAATTTTTTTATTCATTTCATACTTTGATGTACTGGGTTAGGTTAGGTCTAAAGTAAGTGGGTCTATTCGACCGTCCACCGCAACCCGCAAGGGTTTATTGTGGCTCACACCTATTCACACTTGCCCAGCTTCTTAACGGAGCCGATTAGTTTGTATGGTGAGTGGTCTTTCAGGTCAGATAAGAGTACGGATCTGCCGAACTCTAAGAACCTGATTCGGTCCCCAGCGGGGCAGGCACAAAGTATATGCTCTGCTGTTTCATCATTTTCCAAACAGAGGCGACACACACTGTCCAAGTCTCTTCATATGATGATTCAAATGACAGTGACCAGTAAGAAGGCCTGTTGGACATCGTAGTTCATCCCTACTGTAGTCCAACAACTGTTTGGTATCAAGCTTCGAAGGGTGGATAAACGCTTTGGAGTGAGCCAATCCTGTAAGATTCTGCCAGACGTTCATGGATCTTCTTGCCATTCAGGTGTTCAATGTTTGTTTTGCAAAGCCCAAAGCGATGCCTATGATAGGTTCTGGTCCGATGAAGCCGCTTGCAGCACCCTCCTTAGCAAGAGAGTCAGCAGCTTCATTACCTCCCAGGCCAGTATGGCCAGGAATCCCGGCCAGAGACAATCTGTTAAGTCTTCCTATCGAGGAGAGTTCTTTTTGGCAATTTGCTGCCAATTTAGATGTTGCTCGGTAGGAGCCAAGAGTTTCCAACACCGCTTGACTGTCCGAGAATATTGATGTAATGGGTACTACATGTGCTATGGCATTAGAAACCAAACTAAAAGTACAAACGAATTTAAAAATACATTACACAGAAACAATTGATATAACTTACACGACTGATACATTAAGGTTATGTTCAGGGTGAGGATGACGAGATTGAAACACTGTCTAACAGTGAAAATATGAATTGGTCCACGGTGGACAGATGCAAAGTGTGTATGTGCTTTGCTATTTCAGCATTAAAACTGAAATAACAAACTGTCTTCCGACAAGTCAAGTCTCTTCATATGATGAGTCAGATCAGATGGTAGTGACGTACAAGTAGACCTGTTGGAGAATGTAAGTCATCCTTGCTGTAACCTAACGATTGTTTGGTGCCTTATTTAAAAGGATGCAATGGGTCAATCCGGATACATTTTACCAGAAGTCTAAAACTCTTCTTGCTATCCGGGTATTCAGTCTTTGTTTTGGCAAGGTTCAATGTAACCTTTTGTAACGCCCTCATTAGCTAGAGAGTTGAAAGTTCACTACCAACTTGGATATTGCTCAGTAAATGTCGAGTGTATCTTGAAGAACCACCAAAAACCATAATTACTGAGACCAGCCTTATTGCCTGTGTTAAAGGTGAAAGGGATATCCGGCTGAATATCGGATAACTAACCCCTATCCGGCAAAATACCGGATAACTACCGTCTATCCGGCCGAATACCGAATTTTAAAAAAAATGGTAATTGACTGCTCTATTTAGTTAGTATCACTTGAGAAATACGATCATCAGTCACACAATAATTCTACAGCTTTGAAAATGAATTAGTACTCATGCTGCAAATTATGGTGAATGAATATTAATTTCTCTGCATTAAGAGGTGGCAAGCATTATAAACAAGTGTTAACTTTGCTTATCAACGAAAAGATCCGAATCGGACCACCCTATAGTGCTTCTTCGGTGGCCGAATATCCGTCTGGAAGGTTGGCGTCGAATATTCGATATCTGGCTAGAGCCATGCTACCCGTTTCATCTCTAGTGTAAACACCATTTTGAAGAACGTTATCAAACCGGTTTAATAAAACTATTTTCGAAAAAGGATTCGGCCGCCTAAACACGTTCTTCGAGTGGTGTAATAGTTTATGGATATAAAAATTCTTCAATGGGTCAAAAAGTGAATTTTATTTTAAAATAATGCCTTATTAAACAGGATAAGACTGCGATGCCTGTTACAAGAAATTACTATTTGGGAAAGAACAAATTGTTCCTTCTGATGATTTTATTTGAGAATTGGCAAACAGAAATAGTTTTATTCATCATTAAAATTTTCACACATACACAATTACAAGATTAAATACATGAGAAAACTTATAATTGGAATAGTCAAAAAAGTAAAACGCTAAAAGCTAAACACAAATGTTTGATCTTGAATAAATTTTTCTTCGGGTGATGACAGTCATCACCCGAAGACCGGAGTCATCACCCGGAGTAATTTCAACGCTTCATTATAATTTTAGACAATAATAATAAGTTTTGATAGGGATAAACTAAAGTAATTATTTGCAGAATGTTATAACGGTACAGACATCATCTGCTGGTGATCACTAGATGAAAACAGGTGTTGATCAGCAGATGTTCCAAGGAACGGAAGATTGTCTCAAAGAAATGGGTTTTACCTCAACAAAATATCCAGATGAGAGTTACGATAGTAGGTATATCTGTAGGAACTAGGAGTCCTTGTAGGAATGATAATTTTTAATAATAACTTATAGTGCCCAATGATGACGTAGTTACTGAAAGTTGTTGAGAAGGTTTTCTTATATCTTTCATTTTGATGTCACAGTAAAAACTGGACGAATAGAGAGGTTGTTGATTGTTCTTGTGTGGTTAAATCGAAATGATGACAGGTTCCATTAGGTTTTGTTTATGGAGTCGTGAATAGACAATGATTCAAGTGTTGATGAAGGTAGTGAATGGTAAATGTCTGATGGTGGTAATCAAAAAGTCAATGATTTACTAATTCTAGGATTGGATAGTTCTAATAGTAGAATGGGAAGTAGAATAACACACAATAGGAGTGTTATAGTAGAAATAATGCTCACATAACAAACATAGGGACTTCCGTATTTTGACTACTGATAATGGGCATATTGTCAAAGCTACATCTGTCAAATTAGTTGTGTTTTGGCAAATTACCATGGAAGAATATAGCATTCAACAACTTGTGCAAATAATAAAATTGTTTTATCAAAATGAATGTTCTGTTCGAGCAACGTACCGCGCGCTTCGCCCATTTTACTGTCGCCATAATCGTGCTACCATGAGGACTGAGATAAATTTGAATCCACGAGTTCAGTAAACGATCGACCAAGACTTTTTTATTGTGATATGGTTAATGAAAATTACTCAAAATCACACTGCACATAGCTATTAAATTGAATTATTGTATAATTATTCAGAAATGGGGCATGATTTTAATAGTATCAATTATATTGTAGTTTCAAGGAAGATAAAAAGTATTTCTGAAATATTAGGCAGTTCTTGTTGATATCCTCATTTTCTGAACAGAAATTTTTGGGTAGCTACAAACTTTCAAAAGACATTTGGAAATTATGAATGGCTTGATATTGATACAAAAATTATTGGTCTCTCTTTTTCAAGACGACCCTGACAGAAATTTAGTTGGATTTCAGTGAATACAAATATTTATAATCTCAATGAACGACATTGACAGGAAAATTCTGGATTTCAGTAACATTCGGAAATTCGAGCTCTTAATAAAAAATGATAATGATGTGGTTTCGGGAAGAAACGTCGGGAAATATAGATGTGATATATCAACGAATTTGTAATTATAATGACTACGAAAATGTATAAAACAATATACAGGTCCGTAATTAAAAAAACATATTGATGATGGAATTCAATGAACGAAACGTTGCATTGAAAAATGAGTTCACTCAGATTATAAAGCACATGAAATAAAGCAAAAAGTTTCTTTGTCATTTTTTGGTATTATTTAAAATGGAGGCGGTAGAGCAAAAAAATAAAATCTGTCATTTTGTTTTTTTGCAAATATCTCACAAACCGTTGATAATTTCTTGGATCTGAAAATACCATTGTGTTGCATCCCTAAAAAGGTAACTTTCGTTCCATTTAACCGTCCTTGTACGACCTACCGTTTCCAAAATAGCACTAGTGGTATCAGCTAAAAAAACGGCCTGGATTTCATATATTTCTGTCGTGAAAAAATGCACTCTTATTCTTGAATTGGATTGTATTTCTTAGAAGTCAAACTCAGATACTAGAAAAAAATACTTGTTACCATCAGAATTTATTCTTTTAACAAAGTCTTCCCCACAATTCTTTTTGTCAGACAAAAATATATTTTCTCTAATGATTGAAAATATCAAGTTTGGAAAAAATTGATGTCACTGGTTATTCTTACCTTCGGTAGTGGTTTTTTGTAGCACAGCAGTTACTACGTCATCATAGAGGAAAACTAAAAAACAAATATTGGGTTAGGTAAAAATATCCCAAGATAAGACAACTTTAATCTCCCGCTCAAAATATTACTGAACAAATTTATTCCAATGTAACTAATAAAGTATAAAACCGAATAAAACTCTGATTTTCGATATTTGCAGACTCTCCACCGCTAAGTGATATGGTGGCTCCTCCCAAAAAGAGAAGGTTGCCTCGACAATCCCTATCGATGGACTCACCTCCTAGTACTCCAACAAGTACTCTCCCACCATCAAGTTTCAATGTAAGGATCGATGTGAATCCATTGAAAATTCATGGTAAACTCAGTAAATTACCTTTTCAGAATCCTTCCAACGAAGGGACGAATCCAGAAGGATGTGTGGAAATAGTGTGCAACAGTAGCGGGGGCGATAGTCCCCTGCAGACATTGGAATCTGACGCCATTTTGAAGGAACGCGCAGCAAAAATGAAACAAGAATTTGGTAAGGCTCTGGTGTCGTCGAGTCTGGAACTTCCTCGATCTGACTTGGGGCCTTTGAGTTGTTTGGACCCGAGGCTGTCGAGAGAAGGGCAGATCTTCAATACAGATCTAGTTGGCACGGTGGAGAAGACATTGAGCATTCTCGGACTGGAAAACAACAAGCCCGAGTTGCCAACTCTTCCCAAAAGAAAGGTAAAGGTAATCAACCTCCGCATGTTTAATAAGTCTTCTCTTAACGATCTTAGTTTTAGCTCTCTATAACAGAATACAGGCAGAGGAAGAAATTGAACACCAACGATAAGGGAGAAGACATGGAAACGGAATCGAACTGCTTGGAGGAGACAAATTCGTCAGAATCTTTCAAAGTAACTGCCAGGGCTAGGTCTGCTAGCAACAGCAGCAGCACTTCCCTGACGTCCAGTGACGACGAAATGGCTCCTCCTGAGATAATTACCAAAAGTGAGTGAAAATTCAGTTGAAACTGAATTATTGATGATTTAGAATACTTGTCGGCATGATAGGTTTGTATTAAATTTGTGTGTGTTGTTTTCTTATAGCTTCGGCATTCAATTGTGAGCCCACAGAGCTTGAAAGGGAGAGAGAATTAGCCAGTTTGAGACTGAAGAAGACTTTTGGGTTGGCAGTTGACGGTGAACCTCGACCTGGTGAGTAATACAAGACTTTTAATGTAGGTTCTTCTTTTTTACTGTTGCCTAGTAATGATTCCATGAATAAATGATGTTTTTCAACTAATATTACAGCAGGTTGTTCTCATGTCGGTTGCAATTTTCAGCTTTGAACGTCGAGGCGATTCTCAATTTAGAACTGGACCCCCCGAAAATGAAGCCAGTGATGCCATTACCGAGCCCGACATTCCCTATACCTGGCAGCAGTTCTGAGCTTGTGACTCGGGATGTATCGACCCACCCACTTTCGCTCTCGTCTCCGATCGACAGTTGTAAGTCTTCGTCAGCGTTTATGGCCCTTCGAGCCGACTCGCCTGTAGTGGATGTTGAGGAAATGGAGACGGAGGAAATTTCTGTAACGGACGACGCACCCGCCATTCTGGACGGCAGCGAGGAATCCGGCAGAGCGCCACCGAATCTGTTTTATACTCCAGACGAGGAAGAAGTATCGGAAGAGGAAGAAGAGGAGGATGAGGGGGAAGAGGAAGAGGCGCAATGCGAGGCTGTTTTTGAAGAGACTGAGAATATTAGTTATGTACCGCCATTCAACAATCCAGTGTATCCCAATGAGAGTTTCACGCCGTTTTCATCAACTATCGGTGAGTAGTTAGTGAAAATTATTAGACTGGCGACATGTTACTTGTTTTGAATAGAGAACTGTCCTGTTTTGCTGATGGCGTAGAAAAAATGAGTTGGGAAACTTCTTAATGACTCCCCATAGATGTCGAATTATGTCAGATCTAGAGCTCTTACTACTACTTTCCTTAAACATTCTTTAAAAATCTTCTCGCTTCTTTGCTGTTTGTCAGCTTTTAGACTTGCCCATTTCTTCCAAGTCTCGAGGAAACACTGTAGCTCCGTGTATTTGCGTTTTTCCTCCCAGTTTTTACCTATCCAACAATCTTGTACCTGGTATTCTGGTTTTTATAGGTCCCGTATTAGAAATTTGTCATATTCATGACTTGGATTGTCCTTTAATTACTCACCTCCTATTAGATAGTCCTTTGCATAAAATATGAAGAGTTGTCTCTATTCTTTGTTTCAGTTAAGGACTCTGTTATAAAGTCCTATTTTGTTCAGTTGTCCTTTAAATGGAAAATGTCCAGTGAGTAGTCGTGATGTTATTCTGAGCCGATCTTTTCTGATACCTGTACAATGATTTTCCATTTGAAGGTGTTTCCTCAGTACTTTTTGTTTTTTGGTTGGCCTATTTTCTGACCTGGTTTCTTAACATATAAACATGGAAACGTCTTATCAACTTCTGAAGCAGATTCAATATCAAAACATGTTGATAAAATTAAAACTGTATAACAAATAATTAACAAAGAAACAAGACAGACAAACAAAAAATTCGTGTTTGAATGGGGAATGTTACTCAATTTGGGTTATTACAGCAAATGCAAGTTTGAACAAAATAAAGTTGAGTTTAATTCATGAGTTTTTCAAATTCACTTCGAAAAGTATTCAAATTGATGTTTCAAATGTTGGGTTTTAATTTTTAAAGGGATTTGTTTCTAATTCACATATTGGCAACAACGCCTATATCAAGTTGAAATAATTTATACATATCTTAACATAATTACAATTTTACTCAACTGGCTATATACGAAGTCCTTAATTAATGAAAATAATTCATAATTGATTTTTAGATGATGAGGCTCGTTACGAAGGCAGGAATCCTTCGCCGCCTCCCCACTTGGAAAAGTCGGAATTCGAAGAACAGTTGTGAGCTCACGAGAATATTAATTAATCGTTGGAGAGTGCAATTTATTTCGTAAACTTGTTATTTATAGAGAGAAAGTATTATAAACGCAGTGTACAGAGTTGTTTCATTTTTGGAGATTTATTTTTCGATTAATTGGTGTCTACAAGCCCCATTAAAGTTATTTTATTTCCCAGTGATGTGAAATTTGTTGTTGATTTGATTTTTCTTCTATTGAATTTGTTGAGTTCCTTTTAGATATTTTTGTAGATATCGATAGAAATGTGTACACTTTGTAAATAAAGAAATTAATTTTATCAATAAGTAGTAAGTAGAAAGCCGTTGATTTTTTCAGATATATTTTTTGCTGGCAATATCGATTCACCGTACTTGCTCACAGAAATCTCATTTGTATATAAGATTGGTGTATTTAATTCATTTAAGAGGAATACTCGACACGAGTCTAAAAAGGTGATTCGATGCTGCGTGACCGTGTAAAAGTACAAAATTATTTAAGAGGTGATCTCGTTTTTCGACAGTAGAATGTTTTTTATTATTTTTTTATAGAGTTAAGAACACCACTTGGGTTGTTAGGTAAACAGTGATGTAAAGTAGCTGACTGTAGGAAATAGACTTCCCTAAGGATTTTTGTAATTTGTTTTATGTTGTTGTTGCTTACAATTTTCCTTGTGACTTCTGCAAAATGATTTAGACGTTGCTCGTTGAAAGTTTTAAAGCCAAGGACTGCTGATGACACATCACTCTATAAGTTTGTGGAGGTCACTTTTTGTATATATTTTGGAATTGTACATAAGTACTATATTTATACATATATACATATATCAATTTGTAAATTTCGTACTACAACCAGTGTTAGTTTTGTTCATGTGATTAAATTATTTATTGATGAGCGGTCCTCAACGCAAATCATCCTTGTGTTGGAGACATCTCATATCCGGATTTGCGTGTTATTTATTGCATCGACTCTGTACAAAATTTCTTAATAAAATTTAAAAGAAAAAATATTTATTGTTATTAGAATCAGTATTAAATAAATCTATGAGATGGCGATAAATAACTCGGAAATCATCAAAATTGTCATGGACATCGAGTTATTAATTACATAAAACTATTTTAATATATAATATGGCTGTACATAATAAATAACATTAATGAAATTGATGTTGGTACGTTCTGTACAATTATTTAATAAATTCTCTAAAATTGTGTGCTGCGTTTTCTTTGAAGCTGAAACATCGGTGATTGTCTTTTTGTCCATTTGATGCTGTTACCGTTATTTCGGGGGTTGTTAATAATAATAATAGACTTTATTACCCAATAGTTAGAAACCATTTACAGGGTAAACTAAGTATATTAAAAACTAATATAGATCCTTATAATTACAAGGCTACACAATTTGAGAAAATTAATAACAGAATTATATTATAAAAAAAACTATACCAGAAAATTAAAAATTCTTCATGGAATACTGAGACACAGTGTTAATATATTCTACGGAATCAAAATTCTTATCAAACAAATTTGAAATTGAATTGAAATTATTGCAAATGCTAAAGATGGTGACTTTAGGTACAAATTGGTTCTGGCCAGTTGGCTGTAAAAAGTTTTTGTACTTCTAATTCTAAAATGTGGCACACAGAAATTAAATTTATAAGAGATAGCACCTCCATAGCATTCCACAGTTTCTGATTGATTATTCTATATTCACCAAAAAAGTTATACCAGTCAGACCCTTTTCTCGAAGCCTCATGCAAATATGGGCGCACCTTCATTAACAGACTTGTTGAAATTATACAACTTATACAGTTAAAACTTATTTTTATTATTAGTCAGTGGGCTATGTTTGAAGACAGACAGTAAACAAATATGAAGAAATGAACTTAAAATGTTCAAGCCAGTCACAGATATACTTATACAGTAGGTATTAGCTAGGGGAGTAGTTGTTTTCTGATAGGCGTCAGCCCATTCAACCTACTGTGTAGGTAAATCTGAGACTGGCTTGAATATTTAAAGTTCGTTTCTTTAGATTAGTTGAAACTTATGTCGGAGAATAGTCACTACATAAACACTAAAAATACAAGTGAAAATGTAGAAAGTACTTGAAAAATTTTATGATGTAAATGTTGAAAGCATCTTTTAATAACATATAAACTAAATATAAAGGCATGTGCTAAATGACCGTTGAAAATTTCTACTTCATTTGACCATTTTACATACTATATTATATTTATAGCAAGCCAAATATACAGAAATACTTGTTTGGAGTTACAAAGATAGAACCATCTACTATAAAAAAATATAAAAGTAAACGAGTTCAGGTATCAATGAACTAAAGATTTAATGAGGTCTTTCACAAATTGAAGACCCTGCCATGTCAATATAGTCCTCAATGTTATAAAAACAGTGTTGAAGAAAAAACTGTTCACAAGTAGATTTGAATTTTGCAAGGCTTGGTGACTGCAGATACTAGTGAAGATGATTGTAACGAATCTGAAGTCGTCCCTGACCGATATGTCGGCCAGCGAGCAAACACATGATATAACCCCAAAAGGAATGCAGTCGGCAACCGCCGTTTAAATTCCAGTTGAGTACCGAAACAACTATGGAATTCTAGAACCATCGTTACCGATATATAAGGCCGGCTTCTCGTCCCAAGAGGGCAGTGGAGTTCAGAAAGTGAATGAAGCTGTTAAACAAGGAATTCAAATAGTGGAAATAAATTAAGCGTTAGTTGCTAAGTGTTGTAAATAAATTAGTTTGTGATGGTGAAATATTGTTAGAAATAAATTTGTTTAAGACAGTTAATTCTTTAAATTGTTACAATGATTATACAAATGTAAGGTTAGTGGGTTTCTCTAACTAATTGTTAATTTATGTCTGGGTCCATGTTTCTAGACTAACAGTAATATATAAAAAAAGACAATATTAAAAATAAAATGATGTAAAATATATAACTTCGTGTGAACGTGATTGAGTATGTTGAAATACATTCTAGATATGTTTACTGATCCTCGTTTTGAATACATAAATTGTATTAGATTCCTTGATGTCTTGTGGTAGCTTATTTGATTCATCAAGTCCTTTTTTATAGAATAATGATTTCATTGAGTTTGCCATTTTCCAATTAGGGGGATGAAACATATTTCCTCTAATAGTATAGTTGTGTATTTGGGAGTCAATCGTAGTAAATTCTCTTAGATAATCTGGAAGTAGCTTGTGTAATATCTTATAAATGAAAACCATTGTTAGTTTATAAAGTCTATTTTTTACTGATATCCACTGCAAGCAATCTAACATCGCTGCAATACTGGTAAAACAGCATTTGTAGTTGTGAAATTTTATTTGAATCAAAGCAGTAAAGTAAGCTACCACAATAATCAAAATGAGACTGGATAATGGTGTTATATACTGTAATATTGAAGTATGTTAAAGGACATTGGAAAATTCTAGAGAACAGGTTGAGTTTCATATGCATGAATATCGCAATGTCTGTCAAATTCATTAACATTTTCATTAATTTCTATTCGACCATTATAGATATATAATGTTGGGAGTGGCATAATGCCAAATTTAATAAAAAAAGGGGCGACAATGCTCTTTGTAGCCTGCTTTGGGTGTTATTCTGTCCCCTAAAAATACTAAAGGAGTTACCTGAATCAGCCCCAAATCATAATACCATATGGCATAACTTAGTGAAATAATCCATAGTAGGCTCTTTTGAGCGTCGTCAATTTGACCACATTATTTAATCGTCTCAGAACAAATAAAACAGTAAACATTTTGCTAGTCACAGCTTTGATATGATCAGACCAGCTCAATCTAGTACCAATAACGAATCCTAAAAAATGTATCCTTTTAGTTGGATGAAAATTTGGATTTGAAGATACAATTATGTTTTGAGTTTTATTTTCATTCAGAGTCAGCTTATTAGCAGCAATTCAATTATATGCTAATGTTTCGCTACGTCGCATCATAAATTGTAAGCTGATTGTCTTTGCTAGAACATATAAAGTCGCATCATCTGCAAACAAAGTACATCTTGCAGGTTTTATGAGACTGTATAGATCAAGAACACTAGTGGACCTAAAATTGAGCCCTGAGGAACGCCATGCTTCATTCCTTTGAGGTCTGACTTTATGTTGTTCACTTCAACAAAGAGCCTGTTAGGAATAGGACTTTGGTCAGCTTTCATTGATTTCATTTCACATTTTTTTCATTTCTAAACATTCAAAGGCATCTGAAAACTTATATGGTCCCAATAATTTCAAGCATTCCACATTTACACTGAGCTTCTCTGGTCTATGAAACCGAATATGTGATACATGTTCCTTGTAGCGAGCTATCAAAGTCTGTTTAATTTGACCAACAACCTTTTTGTTGCAAAACTCAAAGCTTATTTCGTAAATGCCAGACTTTTTCATTTTACGAAATGAGCTGTGAGGATTTCGCTAAATCGTATGTCGGTCAAACGAAGAGGACTATATTAGCTCGCTAATAGGAGTATGTTTCACATATTTGGTTACGTAAAGTCTATGCTCAGTATGACGTTGAAAGACCATTGTTGAGTCCAGTATATGACAAGTTTTTATGTGTTAGTCATCTTCTGATGATGCTAGAGACACGTGTTTAGAGACAGTATTTTTGTTTGTGTTTTCAATAGATTCATTTACTGCAGAGGTTCCGAATTCTACTTATCAAATATAGATCATCTGAATCATAATTGAAAATAAAATTGGTTGTATATAAACACAATTTTTTTAAACTTTTCTTTTATTTTTTCTCAGCTGTTTTGTGACAAGAACATGTTTCTTCAAACTAATCAATAATTAAAAGTATATTTTTTCAAATAAAAGGTATTGGCTTTTCAACTAATCTAATTAGAAGACAGGAATGAAAAAAGAGAACAGTTCAATATTTAACATATTATTTCTTAAAAAAATTCTCCTCAGTCCAAATTGAGACTTCTCTTTTTTATGGCCTGTGGTGGTTTCATGGATTTCTGTAAATTCTCAAAAATTTGATCAAGCGTGATACCTTTTTCTACTTCACCACTCAAACTACTGGATTCATAAGAGGACACATCAACGAATTGCACCTTTTTTGGAGAAGTGGAATTTTTCTTATGATTGAGAGCAGTTTTTAGGATGCCAGTTGGTTGTTCCAGTTGCTTTTTTAGGCTAGCAAGATTTTTTGAGCCTTCTTCCATACGTGATTCTAAAAATCCTTTCTTATTTTGGGTTTCCTCGCAGGAATTTTTCGCACTGTTCAAGACAGTTTGGAGATTTTCAAGTTTTTCAGACAAATATTCTTGAGAGGACATTAAGTAAGCCTTGTTTATCATCAATGTTTGAACTAAATTGTCCTCTATTATTTTTTGCACCTCAGCTTGTAACAAGTCTGTCTTCTGCTTTTTCAACAAAATTTTTTCATCTAACTGTTTGATACCCAACATCAGCTGCCTGTTTTGGTTCGCCTTTTCATCAGTAGCAAGTTTTCTTTCAATAGCCTTATTTTTTTCTTCTAATTTATCAGCATATTCCTTAAGCTTCACTTCAAAAGTTTTTCTCAAGTTTTCGTTTTCTTCCTCCAGAAGACGTACTTTTTCCTCCAAGGGTTCTGTTTCATATTTGTGGTTTGTCAAAAGTTCTTTGTATTTTTCAGATGCTAAGGTTAGTTGGGAAGATTTACTTTTTGAACTTTCTATTTGTTCGGCCAATTTTTGTTTCAAAGCATCCCATGTCTGCAATTTTTGGTCTAAATCATTTCTGAGATTTTCAGTTTCTTCCTTAATAACGTCTATTTCATCTTCCAAATTACAGTTTTGATTCTGAAGATGTGTCAGGTGCCCCTTTTTTTCTTCAACTTGCTTATTCAATGCGTTAATATTTATTTTATGTTCATCTTCTGATTTTGATATATCAATTTTATACTTTTCCAGGAGTGCTTTCTTTTCCCTCAAGGAATCTTCCAAATTCTTTCTTCTTTCCTTCAATGAATTGATGTCCTTCAATTTAGAGTCGTTTTCTTCATTATATTTGTGAACAAGTTTGCTCAAACTCTCTTTGTGCTCTGCAATTTGAAGCTTTGAAAGTTGATTTTCATTTTCTTGTTTTTGAAGATCATTCTTTATATGACTCTCCTCATCTCTCCTATTTTTTATGTCAGTCTCAAGCTGGTTGATTCTAGACTTCAAATTTTCTGAATGTCCCATTTTCTTCTTTTGATCTTGTGCTCTATTAAGATTCTTCTGACTCTTTTGCTTCAGAGTTTTCACAAATTCTCCCAGTTTCTCAACGATGGCTTCATTACCAAGTACTTGTTGATGCAAATTTCTAATTTCCAAATTCGAGAGCTGAACCCTTCTATCCAAAGATTCATTTTCAATGTCGAGTTCTTCAATCTGCCTCTTCTCATCGTTGATTTGTTTGAAAAGATCTGATTTTTGTTCACTGAGAATCGAAAAAGTCGTTTTATCCGATTCTTGTGTGAAAATAATTTGTTTGTATTCAGCTCGGAAAATGGTCTCAACTTCCTGATATTTTAGCAATGAATTTTGGGTTAAATTTTCTTCGGCAATCTCCATCTCGACATTGCTGGTTTCTTCCATTTGCTGTTGATGATTTTCTGGGTGGAAAACTGCATCCGGATTCTCGGCCTGTACAACATTCTGCTCTTCATAATACCTGGCATATACTTCCTCAGAGTGAGAATCTTCTTCCATGTACTCTTTGGACTCCATAGTCTGATATTCCATTACGATGATAAAAATGTTACAAAATTAATCAAACAACAAAAAGATATATACGTCGACTATAATCTACAGGTTTCTCTAAAAATGAAAATGATGACTGTCTTATGTTTATTTGTAAGACTGTCAGCACAGCCTACATGTACTGAAAATGATAATTTTACTCGCAAGAGAAAAATGCGACTTTTGTGGTAGTTTCAAAAGTTTCCAAATATTTTTTTAATTAATAATCTTAGAAACTGCATATTTCCCCATTTTAAATATTGCGCTCTATATCTATGCTTTAACGAAAAAGGTACATGTTCTATGACAAAAACTCTCATGGCACAGAATCACAAAAATGCTAATTTTGAGATTCAGTGTCCATGGATATAAAAAACAAAATAGTATTCCAGGGAACCATAGGGACAAAACTTTACTAACCTAGACTGAAAAATTAAGATTGATATGTTATACATCAAATTAATTATGCCACGCTTTCTAAAGCACAAAACACATGTGACAACGCCTGAAAATTGTTGAAATTCTTCAAACATAAAAACAGACATGAAAAATTTTATGTCAAAATCAAAGACAGAACTAGAAAAAATATGGATTTTTTGTTTGAGTGAAAGAGATCTTAGGTAGAGACAAGTATTGTATATTTTGGATACTCAATTCCAGCAATTCTCATCATGAAAAAACACCAAATATAAATAAAAGTACTGGAATTAGCTAACTAGGTAAAAATATGTAGACTTTTGAAGTGCTTTCTACAGCAAATAGATAATATCTAATACATCATACACCAAACTTTTATTTTGACAAAGTTGTAACAAGGCAGCGAAATTAGCACAAGGACGAAATAGGTTGAATATTGTAGGTATATAAATATCGGTCATTTGTAGATATAATTGTAAGTAATAGTAGTACTTGTCAGTCCCCACTGCAGACAAAAAACTAGGTTAGGTTCATAAAAGCTTGGCTACAGTGCATTATTTCATTCCTAACAATGCGAAATAGATTAAATTCCGATTTATTTTCATTCCTGACAATTTAGATAAAGTAGAATTACCAGTTTACACTTGTTTTAGCCTTTTGGGTATCGTCAGTGCCTGGCAAGCACCTTTTGACTGAAGATTAATTGTGGAAAATCAGGACTAGTACTATAAATGTAACAGCTAAGTTCGCTAACCCAATTTTTCATTCGATTCTGGCAGCAAAAAACTGCAGACACATTATTGTCGTTTGATTCTAGCTCATTAGATGTTATCAGTACGATATAGCCAAGTGCAAGGTTGTGCAACAATCATCATCTCATCATCAACAGAAGCCAGCCGCACTTTGTGGTTTAGGTCGGTGTGTGTGTTGCTCTTTTATATTTTGATGTGAATTTGATTGTTGTAAAATTTTTCTGAAAACTTTTGGGTAAATAATTTTGGTATTCTAATATAGATTTTGATATTTAGATTAGGAAAACTAAAAATTTCAAATTGGCTTCTCTGAACAAGGATGGAGTCATTAAGACAATGTTGGATATATTCAATCTGATTACTTTTGATACCGGCTGGACACTAAAATAGTTATAAAAATATAATTTTGATCTACAAATCAGAGATATAATAATTATTGGATCGGACATCCATCAGTCCTTTGCTACTTAATAAAGTACATTAGAGAAAGACAGAGAAATACCGTACTTATATACATGGAATACTGTGGAAAGATGAGATAATATGAGCCGTAAATTTCCATCTTTCACAATTCACAATCTTTCTGTTTATTTAGTTCACGTTTTGGAGGGACCAACTGATTTAAAAAAGTATTCCATTTTTTTCCAATAATGATGTCCTGTCTTCTAAAAACCAGTCCAATACATGTAATGTCTATGATACAAACCCTGTCATGAAAAAAAAAAAGATAAAGATAGAAGTATAAACAATAAACAAACATAAGCATAACCTCAACTTTTGAATTACTTTTGTCAACAAATAGTTTCATTACATTGTATGGGCATTAAAATATCTGTTTTCTATAAAAACGGAAACCATTTTGTTACCAATTGAGATGAATCTCGTACTCAAACATCTGCAGGCTTTACATGAACAGGAACTTCATTCAAATGTTGCCAAAGTAGTAAGTAAGCAAATTCTTTTGCACTATTGGTTTTTCAAAATTATTATTTTTATTTCAGTGTGATTTGACTCTATCTATTGGTGAGCAGAAACCAGAGACATTCAATCTTCTAACGAAATTACAAGTAATATTATATTATGCCGAGGCATTACTCAATTTGGAGCAATATTTACCAGCTGAAAATTTATATAGACAGTCACTGCAAATGAGAAAGAGTATTCTAATGAAAGCAAAGAACACAAATACAAAATTCAATGAAAATCAGAGTGAAATTCCAACTGATGTAATTATCAAATATAATATACATCTTTGTTGTTTAGCCCTCAAACAAAAAAATGCTGCAGCCGAAATTTTGCAAATGATTCCTGCCAGATTACGTACACCAAAAATTAATATGGCCCTCGGAAACGTTTACTTAGATCTAGGCATGGATCGTTCTGCAGTGACCTGTTTCAAAGAAGTGTTGAGGGAATGTCCTCTGGCTCTGGACGCTGTGGAGAAACTCTTGAAGTTAGGCATAAAGGTTATTTTCTCGTGTTTTTACTTGAAAATTTTATGAATTTTGGTCTCTTGATAAAAATTTAAGAGCAAAAAACTCAAACTATGGGTGTTTTGCTATGAAAATTGTTGTGAATTAACTTGGGTATCAGTTAGCCAAAAATGTATACAATTTCGGGGATCATGCACTTACGAATATTTTCAATTCAATGAACCTAAAACTAAACTAACCAACATATAGGAGAAGAGGATTTGGTAATTTGAATAGATTGAACGGCAATGATAATGATGATTTTTGTCCAACAGATATGTGATGGAATTAAAAGATACTTCATGAAAATCCATAACATATTCAACTTCATTGTGAGATTGCCTTTGAACAGTTTACAAAACTGCAACACGCGTTTCACTATTCAATAGCTTTTTCAGGCGTGTTCTTACTAACAATATCCTGCCTAATTAGTGCTTTATATAATATAACAACTCAATAACTAATAATTTTACCTGAGGTCAGCTATAAACTAATTGGAAATTTGAACAATAAGAAAAAAATATGAATTTTAAAAACTACACCTCACGATTTGATCTTCACAAACTTTATTTTGAAAAATATATCACAACATATATCGCTAGCACAATAGCAATGAACAACAAACATGATTTTTCAATTTTTCACAAACCGTCCTATACGGATATTACTATACATTACGATTCTACCCATCCTTATCAACACAAAGTAGCAGCTTATAATAGCATGATTCACAGATTAGTCAATGTTCCTCTTTCAATAGATAATTTCGATAAAGAACTTGATATCATCAAGCAAATTGGGGTTAACAATTGGTTTAAAGCCGAATTAATAAACAAAATACTTGCCAAAGCGATTCGAGACGTTTTTCCTATTGATAAGGTAGATAATCAAAATTATAGACGTTTAACGTATTTTGGACAACCAACGGAAAAAGTGGCTTCATTTTTAAGGAAACGAGATATTAAAATTGCATATAGAACAAGTAATACGTTGGGAAAGTTGGTTAAAAATAACAAAGACAAAACATCCAAATTAGAGAAATCAGGAGTATATAAATTGAAGTGTGGAACGTGCCCTAAGGTATATATTGGTCAAACCGGCAGAACATTTAGGAATCGAATCCAGGAACATCATACGAGCTATGTTAATAAGAAAACAAATTCAACATATTCAAATCATCTTCTAGAAGAAAATCATATCTTCAACGAAGAGTTCGAAATTTTGCACATAGAAAATAAAGGTTTGAAACTGAATCATTTGGAAGCAATGGAAATCAATAAACTTAAAAATTCAAACATTCTTGTGAATGACCAACTAGATTTGAAGAGATCACCATTGAACTAGTTTTCTTAAAAACAGAGAAGAATTATTATTGATGTAGATGGGAGGCAATATGCTTCAGGTGATCATAATCGAATAGGTACGTTAGGTAAAGGTTTAAATAAAAAAAAATTGGAGGTAGTCTCAGTTATGGTTACCTGTAGAATATAAATATTAATGTGAGAACAACTTGAAGTATAAATCACTTGAAAAAGCTAATGTCTTAGCGAAACATATTGTGATATGTTTTTCAAATAAAGTTTATGGAGATAAAATCGTGAGGTGTAGTTTTTGAAATTACTCTGGATCTTCATCAAGTAACGGCCGAATCAATCAGAAAAAAATGTTTAATTATTGTTTTTGATGGAGTGAAGTCCTTATAACATTTTTCAAGCCGATGCTTCGCTTGAACGGTATTTTTTCCCATCAAGAGTATAACTATGAGTATAATAACATCATGAAATTTCAACAGCTTTCTTTTGAAGGTTCAGTACTAACTGAAAAAGCGGTGAATGCAATAAGACTAGCGCAATCTATGTGTTAGGCCCGAGACTTTGCAACCCAAATAGTAAGTGAAACAAAAGATTTGTTTTTTTTTTATAGGGAGTTGAAGTGAATTCATTAATGGTAGAAGTCACGTCAGAAATATCCTGGTTGAACACGTGGCTGAAAGCCCAAGCTCAGTTGAACTCTAGAGACTTTGTGAATGCTATAAAATCTTTCAAAAGCATGGATGCACATGGGTTACTCAAAGACAATACATCTCTGCTCGTAAATATGGCTTATTGCTACCATTACATATGCGAGGACAATAGAGCAATATCAATTTTGCAGAAAGTGAGTATGAAAGTGATTCTTATACATTAGAACTAACACTAATGTAAGCATTAGATGATTCAAATCATACTTTAGGATCGAAAGCAGTTTATGAGATTTTCAACAGGCTCAAATATGGAAGAGATGAACAGGTGTCCCCGAAGGTTCCATCTGGGATCATCAACAATGATGTTTATTAATGATATCACACACTCTACCATAACAGCTCACATCACAATATTTGCAGATAGCATCACGTTGTTGTGGCAGAATAAGGTTAATTTAAAACTAACGTAAGAAGCCAAGAAGAGATGGAAAAGAAAGCACTAAGTCTATGAGAAGTTTTTTTAGTTCTCTTTTGAAAACCCCAATTTTCTTAGCCCGTTTTATTCTGTTAGGAAGATGTTTGAAAAGCTCGATTGGCATATAGTGGGTGCTTTTTTTAGTTGCTGTTAGTCTATGAAGGGGATAAATATATTCATTTGTTCTAGTGGGATACTTTCTCCACTCAGAATTTTCTATCTCACAAACTAATAGTCTGACAGCTGTGAAATTTCTACAAGTGTATTTTAAAGGTTAGGGTTAACTAAAAATCATATGACTTCATACTAGTGGCGCCACTAGTATGTGGCCCATCTAGTATAATCAGTCTAAATAAAAATCTCATATCTGGCTGATTCATCATCAGGTCAGTTTCAAGAGAGCTAAGTAGATGCTATGCAAGATCAGGTTACTTTGCCCACATCACATATTATGGCAAGTATGCAGCAAAAAGAGCTCAATCGTTTTTGTTCCACAGAAACGAGTTGTTCGGTATTTGTGCAAGGCAAAGTTCGTGGATCCCTGCAAACCAATATTCATTAAATAACAATTTCTCAGTGTAATTTTTCTGTTTATCCACGATACAGTAAGTCTGATGCATAAAAATATATTTGAAATTCTCACAAGTCACACCATAATTCATGTCAAGATGACTTGATCTGACTTATCCTGCCCACGTCAATGATGGTAAAAGATTTATTGATGTACAATGGAATAAAAGTGTACCTACAACAAAATCTCATGAGGTTGAAGTTATTCCTTGATTATTTAAAAAAAAAATTGAGCTATATTACGATTGATAAAGTCTGATATATTTATTTAATGTATCAGTTTCAAAACGTTCTTATAGGACGAAACTGCAGTAATGTTAGTTACAAATAAAAGTGGTAAAAAACATAGTTTCAATTCTCATTTATCATGATGATTTTCTACTACGTAGTAATGGCTACATCCATCAAGTTATCTATTAGTATGAGTTTTCTTTCAATAAACACTTTTATCAAGAGTATTTATATATTTTTTTGAGTATAACATCGAGTATATATGTATACTTGATAATGGAGTTAAACCTGAAACCGGTCGTATAAATAAAATCAACTACTGGTAATTAGACAAAAGTGTTTTTATTCATTTCATTAAAGGAATCATGAATTACCACAAAATAAACAAGTCATCAATCACATACTTTTTAATAAATCGGGGATTTATATTTGCACAGCACTTGCGAATGGTGTTTTCCAGATGTTGTATGTCAGTAAATGGTCTACTTCGGTACACGTCTTGTTTTAGGTAACCCCGCAAGAAAAAGTCTAAAGGCGTCAAGTCGGGTGATCTAGGTGGCCAATAATGTTCCCAATTACGTCCAATAACTTTGCCTCTGAACATTTGTTGGAGGGACTGTTTTACAGCAACCATGTGATGTATTGGTGCGCCATCAAGCTGATACTATAAGTCGTATTTAATATTTAAAGGCATATTATCTAAAACTTCACTAACCTCATTATTTAAAAGTTTGAGATGACCGACGGAAGATAAAGTTTCCCTAAAGAAAAATGGCCCAATTATTTGGTCGTTAAGTATCCCACACCATACATTAGTTTTAAAGGAATACTGATCACCACATTCAACTGTGAAATTGGGATTTTCTTGGGCCCACCATCGGCAAATTTGAGAACTTACCGTTCCATTTGAAGAAAACGTTGCCTCATCTGTCCATAAAATTTTATAGGGAAACTTTGCATTTTCTGAATGAAAACCTTTTCGAAAAAAAGTTTCCCATATGGTGCGCACTTTAATGGTGACACTGTATATCACAATATATGACATGCTATTAATGATTACTTTTATATTGTTAATATAAACGTTTCTCAGCAGGAACTTGTTTTCTTAGAACAATAAGTTTATTTCTTTCCCCCTTTCACATTTCACAGAATCAGTTTTTAGGCAATACGCTTGGACCCTTTTCTAACTGTTGGAAGGGATTTACTCTCAACATTGCTGGCTGCCTCTGGCACGAAGGAGCATATTCGTGCACTTGAAAATCTAGTTCCCACAACGGAAATGTCTCTGTGGACATGCGAACACTGGGTTGTCCTTGGAAACTATAATTATGCTCTGAAGAAATACGATAAGGCCGCTTATTTTGGACATCAAGCCTGTTTAATGAACCCCAAAAACGTAGAGGCCTTTCTGTTGAAAGCAAATACTCTTTTTCAAATAAAAAAATTCCAAGAGGCAGCCAATCACTGCACTGAAGCATTGCAGTTATGTGATTACAGGTGAGAGGTTTTTGCTGCTCTCCTTTATGAACCTTTCATTTTTGTTAATGAGTGTTAGAACTGCTTCGAACGGAGAGAAGTTCAAAATAGATTCATATTCAATTTTTTTTTCAGATATGATATCCACAAATGTTTAGTTGAGAGTTATATACAGAGTAATAGACTGAGGGAAGCCGAATCAATGGCCATGACTGCTTGTAAACAGTTGAACTTTAGTGCACAAGGATATTGTGTAAGTAACATTTTTTTAGGTTTATTTAAATTTAAGTAGGTGTTATAAATAAAATATAACAGTAGGTAATAAAAAATGTATTGAATAAATGAATAAATCTGGAAAAACAGGTAGGTTTTTTATAAACAATTAGGTAGGTAGGAAAACAGGTAAAATACTGGCATTTTATGTCAAATTTTATTTATATAAATGAATAATTTCAGCAAAACAGATAGATTTAGAAAGCACAATTAATGCAATATTATTTCTAGAGTAACAGTTAATATGTAAATATGTTAGTGACATTTTATGAGAACAGGTTCAATAATGGTGACTGAACTTTCTATTGGTTGTTTGAACTAAAATTTGAATATTGGCGTTCATTGATTTCAAGAGATTCTATCAGGTTTAATTTTTGTCCTTTATTTTATGTTTGTAATATGTCATAGTCTATGTTGAAATCGTGTTCTCTAAGAGGTAGCAAGTATAGGTAGAATTAGTTTTCTCTAGCTCAAAACTTTTTTATGTTCCGCAATTCTCGTTTTGAAATTTCATGAAGTGCTTCCTATATAAACTTTTGGGCATTATCTACATGTTAGTTTGTATACCTCTGATTTGTTATATTTGTCCCTTCTCGACTTGTTGTTCTTTATATGTCTACAGTAAGCTCGTAAAAAGTCCCTCCCTCTTTAACTTTTGAACGGAACAAGCTATCGAGGTCAGGTAAAATTCAGGTTACATTTTACCTGAATCGCAAAAATCGCATTCTTTTTGGTTTTGTCTAGGACCAAAAAGCAGGAAACACTGTGCTGAAAAAATCTCAATGTAGCTTGACCTTCTGGAAACTGGTGGACGCGAGCAATTTTATTCTTATTTTGACATTTCCAATTGGTCACGTGTCAAATTTTCGTATTGTATTGTCCACTATTTTCATTGTTTTTTAATAATTAGTTAGTTTGTACATTATCTATAGAACTATTGCTTCGTCTAGTAACAGCTCCATCTCGTGAACAAAGCCCCATGTACCCACACTCTAACTAACAGAGATCAAACCATGTCTGAAGACTGTATCAAGAAAAGACGTATAGGCACTAGAAAATGAATGTTTCCAAATAAAATCTCAAAATATTCATCCCTCCCAACTACCTCCACCGTCGGCTTCGGTAAATGCCTGCCGGAAAACAGCTACTTCCCCGGCTATTACCCCACTCGATATTGAACTATATGCGACAGACATTTATGCAAGATTCCTCACCGAGGTTATTCTCGGTTATGTTTTGTAAATATATTTATCTCTCTTCTCATTTTGTTTTGATGATATCCCTAATATATTTATCTGATTATATATTGGATTTTCAAGATTCATATTATATAAACTGGAAATTAAATTACGAAGTGAACGAAATCTTTTTCAGTTGCACGCTTCAGTTTTGCTGAAAGACACAATTGCTTCAAGCAAAACAGTTCGAAGAACCCTAGAAAAAGCTGTGGCGCTCGACAAAAACGGTTCAACGAACGCGTTATATATGTTAGTAGAATTCCTGATGGGAGAACAGCAATACGAGCAGGCGTCTCAATTGCTTCTCAAGCACATCGAATCCCTGAAACCTTCTTCTCGGCTTCACCAACTGCTGGGCGACTGCTTCGTTAATTTACAGAAAGATGACGACGCCTTTCATCATTACACCGTCGCTCAAAAACTCGATCCTACGAATCAGAGGGCCAACGAAGGCTTGAACAATATAGGTAGGAGTTTGTCGTTGAGCAAGAGGGAGAGCTATTACACTTGCGTGGCGGGGGAGACGTCTTACACATCACAAGGTACGAACTCATCGGATCATGAGGCCGATCCGGAAAGCGACACTGATGCGTGGCCGGCAAACGCAGATTTAGAGAGTTTCGATTAGATGTGTTTTTGTTAGTTGTTCATAATTTTTTATAATTGTACATACGTTAATATTTATGTCTTGTTGGCCAAACTTATTAATTGCATCTCAATAAATTAATTGGCTTCTATGTTTTTTAATACTGGTTTTCTGTTTGACCATGATGTTAAGCTTCGTCTCCAACTTCAAATAATATACCGTGTTTTAGCTGATCCCACTATTACTCAGGATATTGTCGGTCTTCAGTAATTATTTCAGTGAGGTATATTCAAAATCTAGCTCACTTTTCAATAAAGTTAGACAGACAACAATAATATTCATAATTAGGAAAAAAAGTTTTTGGCTTTCTACTACTCCATCTTGATACAAAAAAAAATGTGGGAATCTTCCAAAGAAAGGAAGGAAGTAATCAATTTGAAAATAAGTAACTCTATACATGGATGTGTAGATCATGCAAAGAAGTAACTTTCAGACACAAACTGGAAGTAGATCAAACTTATTCCGTGACATTAAAAATCGTAATTCATAAATGAATTGTGTGTATTTTCTATGGATTTTTGGGAAAGAAAGTTTTTGGCTTTCACTACTCCATCTTGATACAAAAAAATGTGGGAGTCTTCCAAAAAAAAGGAAGGAAGTAATTATTCAATCAATCTGTGTTAGGAATCACACGTTAAAAGGTAAGACCTCGTTTCGACTTCTGAGGGTTGTCGTTCATAGGGGTGGGACAGTTGGTTAACGGAAAAACAGATTTTAAACACAACAGACAGAATTTGAAAATAGGTAACTCTATACATGCAAAGAAGTAACTTTCAGACACAAACTGGAAGAAAGCACTCCTGAAATAGCTACTTTCATATAAACATTGAATTACACGAAAGAAAAAAAATTCTTTCGAAACAAATACTTTTATATGAACACTGAATTATACATAAGATACTTTTCTCTACTCGGTTTGTATTCCACACATTCGTTATGGAATAAAATAAGATATCATTCACAGGAGTTCTACTTTAAATGAATGGTAACAAATTGCACTTACATGGAACATTGTCATCCTCACTGGTAGACATCGATGTTTCGGCCGTGAGACACTTGCCTTAAGGCACTTCAGTACCAAATTGGATAACATTATAGAAAATACACACAATTCATTCATTAATTACGATTTTCAATGTCACGGAATAAATTTGATCTACTTATGTCATCGATGACATCGTAATGACATTCATTCACCTATTTGTTTATATGAAAGTAGCTGTTTCAGGAGTGCTTTTTTCCAGTTTGTGTCTGAAAGTTACTTCTTTGCATGATCTACACATCCATAAACATGGATTTGTCACAAATCTTTCTACACTTACAAATCTAGTCATTATTACTCAATTTATTTCCGAAGCATTAGGTAACAATGCCAAGTTGATGTAATATATACGGATTTCTCAAAAGCATTTGATAAAATTAATTACAGTGTTTTGCTCAATAAACTAAAGGGATTTGGTTTTTCGAATACTGCCTGTCAGCTGATGAAATCCTGTCTGACAATTCGGGTCCTACAACGGTTATAAATTTAGAACATATCTAGCTTCTTCCGGTATACCTCAGGGCTCCAACCTAGGTCCTTTTTTGTTTTCATTATTCATTAATAGATTAGATTAGATTTTTATTGGTCAAGTATTACACTTTGGTGATATGACAAGTCAATAATGTATGAAATAAATGTAAATTACAATTAAAATTACTGAAAAGGGGTAGATATTACATAAAAATTGTATATGATACAAGCACAAAATAAAGTTAATAAATATATAAATGTAAAAATGAAAATGTAAAAATAGATACATAGAGACAGTACCTACATTGACGATAGTTACTCTGTAAAGCTGAAGTCAGACGCATCATAGTAAGCATTTTCTGAGAGATATTTTTTCAGTTTCCATTTGAAATTTGCGAGAGTTGCATTTTTAATTGATTGGGGCAGTGCGTTGTACAATGATATGTATGAGTTACATCTCCTTGTTATTTCTAGTCTTTGGTTTGGTGCTCTAATATTATCCTTGTTCCTAGTATTATAAGAATGGTTGTTACTATTTGTAGTAAACTTTTGTAAATTTTCTTGAATGTGTATCAAATTGCAGTATATTACATATGATGGCAGATTTAAATATATTAAACTTCTTACAGCTCTCCATTTGACCTATTCCAGATAAAGCTCTGATTGCTCTTTTTTGAATTTTAAATATCCTAGAGATATGAACAGATGTGCCCCAGTTTATCAATCCATAAATTAAGGAACTATGAAACATTGCATGATAAGCAGTATGGGCAGCTTCATTACCGACTTTACTTTTTATCTGCCTGATTGCAGACCTTGCATGATAGATTTTTTGCTAGTTTGTCAATATGGGGTTTCCAAGCTAACTTTGAATCAATGGTTATACCAAGACATTTCACATTATTTGAGAGGTTATGGGACAGCGAGAGCATAACTGTTTGTGTCTTGCTTTTATTCACACAAAGGCTATTCGCATTAAACCAGTCCGTAGCTTCTTGAATAATTCGCTTTTCTAATTCTGATGACTCTTCAATATTTTTTTTTCGAATGGCGAAGGAAGTGTCATCAGCGAATAGCATTGTAAACATTGTCATTGAATTTGGCAGATCATTAATATAAATCAAGAAAAGTAGTGGCCCAAGCACACTACCTTGTGGAACACCATTCAATATCGTTTGTAAGCTACTATCTCAGTCCAATTTTAAACCTCTCAGCGCAAGAACTAATATAATGCTCAATTCTCCAATATATGTCTTATATAGGAATTTTAATAGTATTTGTTCCTGTTGGGATATATTTTCCACAAACATTCATGATCTTATAAGAGTTGCAAACATGCACTTAATTTAAGAAATAAGAATTGTTTTTTCTTCATTCATTTCTCTTTGTTGAAATTTTACCATTGTGAATATAATTTTGTATTGTCCTATATTATTATTATTATTATTGCTATCTCGGTAACGGGGAGACCTAAATGGTCGGTTGAATCAGACAAAAGTTTCCTATTTTCATCTCTTTTCAGATCAAGGATATCAGTGATTGTTTTTGAAAAATTAGCCAGAAACTGGAATTGTCGAATTTTGTTTTTTGGCTCTAACGCCTCCATTTTGAATGATATAAATAAAGGCAGATGAACTTTTATTCGCTGAATAAGATGATTTTATTGGTTGAGGAAATTAAACGATTAGAACTTACATAAAAGTTTATAATTTAATTTTTGCACCATAAATACCTGTTTTTATTCATGTTTCTCTAGTATGTAATTTTAGGTGTTTATTTACTCTGTGAATCGTAAAATCATATATTTTATGTACCATGACATTGACTGTACACATATAATCGGGTGTAAACCTGTTTGGAATGCAGTTTAAATAAAATCTATCTATCTCTCTGAATTTTGATCAATAAATAGAGGTCCTACAATATGGTTTCCCAATTTTCCTGCCCAAAAGTTAATTTTTTCTGGATATTGGGTATGTGTTTCCCGGAAAACGTGAGGGTTGATGTCACTCCAATAACGGCAATTTTGCCGGATCATCTTCAGTTAATTGGTGTACCATTTCAATTTTGTATGTAGAAGGAGACACCTCACAAACATTCGCGACGGAATAAGTAGACTGTTCAGGATTTACTACCATCTCACCAATTATTTGCACTTAAAGGCAGATGAACTTTTATTCGCTGAATAAGATGATTTTATTGGTTGAGGAAATTAAACGATTAGAACTTACATAAAAGTTTATAATTTAATTTAGTTCATAAATATATAAATAACAAAAATAAAACAGAATACTATTCAAGCATATCTATGGAAAAAACCAGAAGAACTGTGCCCCAAAAAGCACCATGCCGCGAGTTAAACTCCTGGCCAATTAAAAGTTAAAAGACAATTGTATTAGTAGCACAGAGAATAGATCCTCGATAGTTGTACAGCTTGATATTTTTTCAATTATTCATCAATGTATTCAATATTTTTTGTAAATTTTCGAAATCTAATTCCAAATTAACTATTTTCGGTTTCTCATTCATAGGTAGGTATGTTTTAGGAATCTTCACGAACCCAATATTAACTGGTTTATCTTCATTCAAGGCCTGGAAAAAATAAAATAAGCCTAAGTAATTTGAAAATAATTTTAAGCACTGTCAAAATTGAAACTGAATGATACCTTAGTCATTTCTTTTGTCGGGAAAATTGTGAAATCAGTCTCGATTCTACCGCCATGTTTCCTTCTAACTGTTTCGGCAGCAACTTTGGATTGAAAACGTTCGGCTCTCCTCTTCAAATCCAACATTCTATTTTGTTCTTCGATAAAGTGGCGCTTCCAGGCAGCAGGCCCATTGCCCGGCTTGGTCTTGTAAATTTGAGGGAAACTTGGTTTGGCTAAAGCCATCAATATCTCCTGAAAACCATTTATAAGCTGAGTCTTTGATCACATTCCGATAGTGAATAAAATTAAGTGCAGTCCTAGCAGTAGCACGGATACATAAATTACGTAGTTGGAGCCCTAAAAATGATGTTAGTTTGCGGCCAGTAACAAATGAGAGGCGCGAATATTATGTAAACCTGCGTTTCTCTTGAGAAATGACCCCCATAAAAGTATGCCATATGTTAGGTGGCTGTTGAAAAGAGAAAAGTATGTCTGTAATACCATACTTTGACTAAGACACATTTTTAGCTGTCTTAGTAGGAACAGTTGTGAAGAAAGTTTTTTGCACAGACCAGCAACGTTTGCTTCTCAATTCAACATGTCATCAATTTTAAACCCCAATAAATCTACATGTTGCTTGTTCGTTACTTCTCTACTTGATAATATTATAATTTTCTGTGCGTTATCCCTGTTTAGTTTGATATAATTTGAAGTAAACGAAGTTTCAGGATCATTACCTGTTCTAGAACATAGGTCCATAAAGTCGTTAACATTTGAGTCTGCTTCTACCGTTGATACATCATCTGCATAGCAAAAAGATAAGCTTGGAAGTAAGAAATTAAAAATACTAATAATATATACCACGAAAAGAGTTGGTCCCAGTATGGACCTTTGTGGTACACCATGCAAAATGGATCTAAATGTGCTAGAATTTCCAGATGTCTAAACAACTTGTTTTCTCCCACATAAGTTAGTTTCCATTAGCTCTAAAGCTCTGCCACGTAACCCATAATATTCCAATTTACCTATAGAAGGAGCTCCTGATTTACACTGTCAAAAGCCTTACAATATACAATATAATAAATACATTCTCATTAGAACTGACAAAATAGTAAATTTCTCATTATACTGCTTTACACATGGTAAACTGTACAACAACATAGGTTCCCAGATCTTTTATCTCATCAGTATGCTACAGTTCTACATTTTTAGTGACTGTCATTGCTTTATATTTGTATAATGAAACACGTGTTGCATTTTTGTAAAATTATTCTATTCGGATTCGGCCAATTCCATCACATAGCTATACATTTGGATATGCTACCTGGTAGGCTATTTCTAATACACCTCCGATGAAAAAAATCAGAGATTCAAATAAGTCACCGATGAATCTAATTTTAAATCATCGACAAACTTCTCTTAGATTTGATCAATATAAACGGGTTACGTTAGATTTTAATCATAGTTTCAATTCATTGTTTTGCCCAACTTTTTTTTAGATTTCATTATTATATTATGTACTATTATTATGTATGCACGAACAATAATGGGCCCAGATTTGAACCCTGTGGTACACTACTAGTAGCTACATACTGTTCTGCCTTGTAACTTTTAAATTGTGAAACTGTTTATACTGGGACAAGTACTCTTGAAGTACTTTATAAGGTTGTATAAGAGTAAGTGATTTATTCTGTCCAAAGTTTTCAAAAAATTTCTGTACACCACATCGATTTGATTCCTACTATCTAATATTTTGCGCAAGAATTGACCAAATATCGATAGGTTACTGATCTTCCATTTACACAAAATTATCTTGAATAATTTTACTAAGATGTTCAAGAGAGTTATTAGCATATTATTATCATTATTAAATTTTGTAATAATGTACTCATCAGGCTGGAGTTGATTGCCGTAAGATCAATCAGTTGAATTGGAAATACTCCGACTCAATTCATATGGAAACTCACCTGTTTCAAAGCTGCCCCTTCTTTGAAAAGATTCTCCAAAATCTCGTCGCGAGTATTTTTGAAGGATGGAAGTGGTTTCATGGAATCCAATTGTTCTTTTAGTTTATCACTTTGAAGTTTGAGTCTCTCATTCCTTTCTTGATGGAAGAGTTTACGTAAGTTTTCGATTTCCTGCATAAGTAGAGGCGAATCTTTAACCACTGCTGGAATATTGGGACCTAGACTCTGAAGAGAAGGTAACTGTGACCCTGCGAAAAATATATCAAGAATTATACTGTATTCAATCAATATACCCAAGATTAGCACTCTTACCTGACATGCTTTTGGAAAGAGACACTTCCAGGGCCGTTTTTTTGGACAATAACTTCAGTTTTTCCTTCATCTCTCCCTTTTCGTTCTCGAGAGAATCAATGTCAGATTGTAAATGATCCAGGGTCTCCTCAAATTCCTTATCTTTCTTTTTATAATAGTTGTGCGCTTCTTCCAATTTTCTTTGCAATTTTTCTATGGTAAGTTCATAATCTTTATTTACATTACCAAGTTTCTTCTCTGCAAGCTCTTTTCTTATCGTCATTTCAGATAGTTGCTCCTGCTTCTCTTTCAACAATTTTCTCAACTCCTTTATGTCGGACTCTTTATTTTCTAATTTACTTGTCAGTGTTTTAGTTTGTTCCAGTTCTTTCTTCACAGATTCAGCTCTTATCTGAATCGGAGGAACCTGCTACAGAAATGAATGAAATTATACTTTAATATGTGAAGCTGTAACAATCTGATTATTTGTGTCACTTTCGGGGTCGTTCTGTCAAACTAGTGCAAGGATGAGGCATAGGGATGTTCAGTTAAAATGGTGTCATTTTTGTGAATGTTCTGTTAACTGGTGTCAGGTGTGGGGATTTCACTTAAACTGGTGTGTGTGGGAATTTCACTTGAATTGGTGTCAGGTGTGGGGATTTCTCTTAAACTGGAGTTAGGTGTGAGGATTTCACTTAAACTGGTGTCAGGTGTGGGGATTTCACTTGAACTGGTGTCAGGTGTGGGAATTTCACTTAAACTGGTGTGTGAGGGGATTTCACTTAAAGTGGTGGGTGTGAGGATATGGCTTAAATATGGTGTCATGTGTGGAAAAAGTGGGTTAAGCCTAAACATAATATCATGATGACCAGTTATTCGGCACCTGAATTTTTCAAATTGCGATAAAAAAAAATTTGAGTTCTACTATAAAAACGTAAAATTCCCTTACTTTTTCATCAATGCTGCTGCTGGCTGTACTGATCTCATATTCATTATCAAGAAGAAATTGTGCGATTTTAGTTGCCTCGTTTAAAAGGTAAGTCAGTGAATTTTTAATGCTTTGTACAGGTCCGAGATCATCCTGTTCGTAAACTTTGTCACTTGCACTGTGAGCTATTTCTTTGAGTTTTTCTTGACTTATTCCGTTCTCCATACCTGTAATCAATTATTTTATTCATAATGGATCTGAATGAAAAAGTACTAATTATTACCTCCTTCTGATAACAATGTCTGGATGGTGGTTTTTACTATATCGTGGAGGGTTTTAATAATTTTTCCAGCCTGCTGGTAACACTGATACAAATTTTCTATAGTCTCCTTGCTGAGACCTAAATTAGCTATGCTGGCATCCGGAGGTAAACGTCTTTTGACCAACTTCAATTGTTGTTGCAGCAAATCTGATGTTGTTATGACATGTTGAGCAAGAAGACCTATATCACCTATATTCGAAGTCTGAAAACATGAGTTGAATATTTTGAATGGTCGAAAAAAACACTCCAAATACCTCCATTAAACTCCTCAGAATCAAAGCATCAACGGTGAATCCATCGACAACAGCTGACAAACATTTAACATTATCAGCAAGTAGTTGGGTTTGATTATTCTGAACTGTTGGGCCTAGTAAAACTGGAAACAGGTTATTGAAGTAAATCACGCACTTTTCTAAGACTTCAACGGGTACATTTTCATCTAACTGATCCCTTTTGATCAGCTCAACGTAACCATCGATGATTTTCTCTTGGCCAGCCATTTCTGGATAGGCCGAACCCACTTTCAGAAGAACTTCAGGTTTGCAGTTATTCAGAGCATAAAAGTACTGACGTAATATAGTCTGAATTGCAAATATATAAAATGAAATGCGGCATCTGAAAGCATACTGCTCAACAGAATGGCTTTTGATGATAGCAGCTCTATCCACTTTATCCATAGAAGGAAATTTATCCTTTATTTGGCTTGCCAAGATTTCAGTTTTCTGAATTAGTCTCGGAATAAGCAGGGTTATCAACACAGCATCATGATCACCTATAAAAATAATAATAATAATAACATTTTTATGATTGAGGCTATTAAATGCTTCAGATGGGCTACACTATGCTCAAAAGTATCATTTGTCATGTAATTCCCACAACATTAAAAAACTACAGGAATTATTGTCGTTTGAATTCAAACTCTGTCAGTAGTTCAAACCAATAGATTAACAGAATTTCTGTATTCTTAGTGAAAGAAGTGATGATGTAACAAATCAACTTACACTTGAGAAAGCAACTTGAAGATATCGAAAAGCAAACTTACCTCCTCTGTTCATAAACGAATCCGGCATATAAGCACTCAAATATTTGATGTGCTGCTGGAGTTGCTGAATTTCGATTCGCCTGATTTCCAAATCGATTGCTTTAGTGTGAGCCTTAGTTTCGCTGAACATTTTCTTGAAATCGATAATTTCTGGCAAAGCAGATANCGCTTGATTTATTTCCACTATTTGAATTCCTTGTTTAACCGCTTGATTCACTTTCTAAACTCAACTCTGGAAGAGAAGCCGGCCTTTTATATCGGTAAAAGTCCATCGTAGAATTCTGTAGTCTGTTCGGTACTCGCCTAGACTTTTCGCGACGGTTTCAGACTGCATTCTTTCGCGGTGAGTCATGTATTTATTCAATGAATTGGCTGGCGTATGGGTCAGGGGCGTCTTCAGATTCGTTACAATATTGTAGGGATTGGGAGTAGTTATTTTCTGATAGGTGTCAGTCCATTAACCTACAGTGTAGGGAGTTGAGACTGGCCTGACAAATTGTTCCTTCAGATGATATGATTTATAGCCATATAGAAAAAAAATCAAGTATATAGTTTATAATAATGAAATCCATAATTATCAATGTAGGACCATTCAAGTATGATTTGTTTTGTTGTGAATTCCTGTTGTTGCTGTGTATTTTTGAATTTATTCATATTTGCTGTTCAATTAGGTAGACATATTGCAGTAAACTTTTTTAATATTCATTTCAATACCTCTCTTGTTGCAGCTAATGCCATGTCGAGCTCTTCCCTCAGATCTGCTTCCAATTCCGCGTTACTTTCCACCAACTGATCGTTCATATCTTGCAAAGCTTCGAGTTCACTAACTTCCTCCATGAGCTGGACCACTTTCTCTTCGAGAGTCAACTTTTGATCACTCAGGATCACTACCATTTCTTCCGCTCCTAGTGCTGCATCCACCTAGAAAAGTCACCCAGTAACAAACTCATATTTAGTTATTTGCTTACTTTACCTGCTCTTGAAGATCTGCGATCTGCTGTTCCATTTCTTCTACCCTGGAACTGAGTTTTTCTTTAGTTTTACCCAGTTCGGTTATTTCAGACTTTTTTTGGTCGATGTCTTTCATTAATTTTTGATACTCGTGTTTCTCGTGGGCGGATAAATCTCTCAATCGCACCAACGTTTCTCTCAAGCGAGCGTTCTGTTGTTGGAGTTGTTTAATTTCGTAGGCTGATGGTTGACCTTCCCCAGAAGCCATACCACCACTTGCTGAAGCTGTAAGATATTCAAATTTCAAATTCATTTAATCATTCAATAAGCCTCATGGGTATAGGAATTGTTACAACACATGGAAAAGTTTTATGCTAAATCCTACTCTTTTCTTAATAATAATAATCATTATTTCAAAAATATGCCCACTATTACAGTATGTATACAGTATGAAATGATGTCCAAAAAAATTAAATTTATGTGAATCTACTGGCATACAACCACCACATATACTCACAACTATATACACTCCTATAATTCTGTTTGGTTCAAATAATCGCTAACACTATATGGTTCTAAATCTATTAGCATTTTTTCTTTCTGAGATTTATTTATGCTCCTCAAATCTTTGATTCGATTAGGCAATTTTTCATACAGCTTCATTGAAATGTAATGAGGAGTTTTCTCAGTTATAGTTAACCTAGGTATACGGAGCATGAAATCATTTCTTCTTGTCCCATAGGAATAATATGAGGTAATAAGATTGAGGTCAGTTCAGAAGATGCTCGAAATGGTTGCCTTGAAATTCTTGACATGTGAACAGCCTATCCGATATTTCACGCCGAACATTTTCGAACACAGTAACGTCAATATCTCTATAAATATTTATTATTCTCTGCCGTATATCCAATATTGAAGCAGATTCAGTTTCGTATACCTTTTGTTTCAAATAGCCCTATAAAAAAGTCCAAATGTGTCATATCTGGCGAGCGGGCTGGCCATTCTGTAGGACCTCGACGGCCAATCCAACGATCGTGAAAAGTAGTATCCAAATAGTTTCTTACTTGTCTGGAGTAATGTGGTGGTGCTCCATCTTGTTGGAATACAATATACATATCGAATTCATTAGGATTTGCTTCGACGATTTCATTGATGAGAGGGTCAACAGTAGTTTCCAGCATATTCAAATACAGTTCCCCTGTAGTAATAGTAACTTCAACTTCAGAAATCACATAGAATGTATTGTTAAGTGATGCAAACAGAAAGCTCGGTTTTGTGTTAAGAAACGCCAGGAATTTCAAATAGGAACTAGGAATTCTTCTATTCAATGCATTTGTCAGATCAAAGCTCGAATACGCTTCAACAATTTGGAATCCGCAAACAGCATTTCATTCAGAGATGATAGAAAAAATACAGAAGAAATTTCTTAGGTACACCTACTTCAAAAAAAATAAAGAGTCTCCCTCTATGATCTCCTATAGGACTCAACTAGAACATTTTGACATGCCAACCCTGTCAGATCGTCGAAGCTTGAATGATGTACTTTTTATGTTCAACATATTTAATCAGATAATAAATGTACCTGAACTCCTCAGTGTGATCAATCTTCATGTTCCTAGTGCTAGTCTAAGAAATCGCANGTAGCATAATACAAGTGTTAAGTCACTTAGATGCTATTTTATATACAATATTTACTTTATGTACTGCAATAATTACTGTCTTTATACCTGTCTCTTCGTTAGTGTTTCATTCTTATTTTTTGTAGGTTTGTGTATCAATTAAATAAATAAAATAAAAAATAAATAAATAAATAAAATATATCTTAGACTCAAAAAAATCCTCCCGGAGGTTCTAGTATGAACTATCATCGAGATTTTCTTGGGTAGATTTTCTATGTGATATTGTTTCACTTACTTCTCTCTTGCATTTCCGTCTTCAATATTTCCAAATCCAGAGTGACTTCTTCTAGTTTTTCCTTACAGAAATCCAATTCCAACTGCAAAGTTTCTGCTTTTTCTTCGGCCATCTCCTTATCCAACGTTGCCATTTCCACGGCCTCTGCTAGATCGGAAACCTCTTCTTCGTGAGCTTCCTTAGCTTCAATCGCCTCTTTGGCTTCTTGTTTTGCTTTCTGAAGATCCCTCTGAAGGCTAGCTTGGGCGCTCATTATTTTGGATTTAAACTCGACCAACTGCTCCAACTGTAAGATAATTTTGATTGAAGATAAGTCAACAGAACATCTGTGAAATGTATTAAATGCTTCAATAAAATAACAACTTTTATAGGGATCAATAAAAGTAGAACTGTAATGAGGAATGAACTATATGGTTTCTTGTTGGATAACTGCTTCTACAGTATGGATGAATTTCTTGCTTTCATTGTTTAGATAAATGACATAGTTTCTTTTATACATGTAGTCTTTTTTTAAATTTTCAAATTTGTTCAAGATCAAACATTTGTGTTTAGCTTTTAGCGTTTTACTTTTTTGACTAGTCCAATAAGTTTCCTCATGTATTTAATCTTGTAATTGTGTATGTGTGAAAATTTTAGTGATGAATAAAACTATTTCTATTCTAATACTCTATACCGCGATTCACGATTCTTCTTACTTACTTGTATTTTTAACTTATCGTAGTCCTTGAGCTTCTCTTTATCTTCTTGCCTCTTCAATTTTAGAGTCTCCAATTTCTCTACTAGGTCCCTTATCTGTTGACTTCTATTTTCCAGCTCCGTTTGAAACTGAAGCTGGCTAATTTTTTCGTCAACTGAGGTTATTGGAGTGGGAGTAGTGGTCATAGCATGTCCAGGTGTAAACTGCGGTTTGAGAGTTTCAACAAATCCAGTCTGCAATATTTATGATGTTTAATTTTTTTTTTACAATGAAGTACCGATATCGAGTTAGCCCAAACTGGTTCCGTGGATAAATAAAATATTGTGTTACAATAGCAATGAAGAATAATTTGAAGAAAGTGTAAACACTTTAAAAGTCAAACCAGAATATCGACCGAAATTTTCCATTATAAATGAAANAGGAAGCCATATTTTTTTTTTAGTTTTGCTTATATGCGCACTCAGTATTTTTGACCATTTAATAAATTTTGTTGTAAGTTACATTCGTTTAATAATCACCCGTCAACTTTTTTTTCCCTAAAGCGATCTAAAAAAAAATTATTGCCATTTTTAAAAATATCCCTAGACTTTTCTGATGTGTATATTTACAAACTCTACAGACCATGGCCCAGTTACAGAGTAGGAAAGGTAAATATCACAAATAGATTTGTACATACAACAAAATGACAAAAAGTTATAAAAAAAAATTCAACAAGAGTTATACAATATCATACAACCTATTTCTAAAACTAGTAATATTTTGGAAGAAGATATCACAGTCATTTTGTCCATCATTATAGGCATTGCACATAGCATTTAATGGGGCATTTTGATAATAATTTGTTCTTGCCGATTCAATATAAACTGTGCAAAACGATCTAGTTTCATAAGCAGGTACATTGAAATTGATTTTTGATAGAAGACAGGGATCATCCACTTCACTATGTATCATCTTATTACAAGTATATTAAGTATGCAAATACACTTCTTTTCTCGGGGGTTTTTATGTTGTACTTTTCAAGTAGCATTACTTTGAAAATATCAAGGTCATAGTTACCTGTTTCTTTGAAATGAAGATATCTCATGAACTTGTTTTGAACTGTTTCAATGCTATACTTGTGACAGTTATATTGAGGACACCAGATAATGGAAGCATATTCCGAAATGCTTCAGATAAGAGCGATATACAAATGTTTGATGCAGGGAACATTGTTGAATTACCTAGAGTTGCGAACTACAAACCCATACAACTTTGAGGCCTTGTTTGTTATATTCAGTATATGAGATCTAAATGATCATTCAAAATCAAAAGTAACACCAAGGTCTGTTATTTCTCAAGTTCTGTTGAATTTTATACCTTCCATCTCGTGGCAGTATGTTATATCTACTGACTTTTTTTCGGGAGAAGGTAATAGTACTACACTTTTGAACGTTGAATAACAATTTGTTAGTTTTTGACCATTCAACGATGTTATTTATAATGTTTTGTAGACGTACATAATCTTCAACTGTTGAAATTCTTCTAAAAATTTTCAAGTCATCTGCAAAAAACAAGTAGCAAGATTATGTGATATTTTTTACATGGCTGTTGATAAATAAAATAAATAACAAAGGACCCAAGTTGGAACCCTGGGGAACTCCAGACGATGCAATAAATGGTCTGGACTTATGTCCTTTCACTATCACACTTTGTTTCCGATTAGATAGATATGAACTGAAAAATTTCATTAGGTTGGGATGAGAACCAAAATCATATTCTAGGGTTCTTAGAAGAATTGGATGTGAGACTTTATCAAAAGCTTAAGCAAAGTCAGTGTATATAATGTCCACCTGAGCACGACTATCCAAGTTTTCAGCTATAAATTGGGTAACATTGCTAAGATTACTAAGTGGATCTTTTTTTCATGAAGCCATGTCGGATCTGTGATATTTTAGGAGAAACTAATCTACAGAGATGCTTGACAATGACGGTCTCAAAAAGTGTGGCTGCTGCAGATAATACTACCACCGTCCTGTAATTGATAATATCGAAGCAAGGGTAGAAACATTGAGTACTTGATTTGAAAAAAAATTTAAACAATCCTGTTGTTACTGTGAAGGAAACTTAGACACATTTCTACCACCCGTAAACAATGCAGCAATCGATGAAATTTCGGTACTCTGGATCTCCAATTGTCTCATTTTTTTGCGATTGGAAATTACTATTCGATGTTACTGACTACTCTATGAGAAAAATGTATGGAAAGAAGTATAGAAAAGTTGCCCAGAGATAGTTCGTTTTCGCAGGTCAATGCCCCTGCACAGAAAACGCATGTTTTCGTGCTAACAATTCGTGATTTAGGCTCCGTCCGACTATCACGTTTCTCCTAAACTGAAAAAAGCCTGCAAGGTCATAAATTTTCTTTCACGTTTTTCCACAACTGAAAAAAAGTCTGAAAGGTCATAAATTTCCTTTTACGTTTTTCCACAACTGAAAAAAAGTCTGAAAGGTCATAAATTTCCTTTTAGCGAAGAGGTGACAGAAGTTGTGGAGGCCTGGTTTGCAGAGCAAGATGAATTTTTTTAGCTCTAGGAGCATTGAAGGTTTGCTATAAAAACTTTGATTCAAATAACTTCCATTTAATATAACACTCTCAAGAAGATATAAGATAATCTAACAACTCCCTGAAGCTCCAAGCATCCTTATCTTGCTTATCTGCTTATCTTTTCAAAACTTACTTATACTTGTGATACACAAGTATAAGTATGATTTACAAGTATATACTTGTGATACCTTCGAAAAATTCTAAACTGGAAGAATTACAGCAAGACATAAATCAGGAAATACCAGCTAAATGAAAAACTATCTAGCCATTACTGTATCATCTTTTCCAGCTAAAATTTTTGAAAGAGCATTTTATAATAAAATTTTTGCACATGTTGAATCATTTCTTTCAGATGAATGACATGGTTTTCTCAAAAACAAATCCACTGTTACAAACTTATCCATTTTTACAACTGACTTAGCACTTACACTGAAGAATTCGGAGGTACTTGCTATCTACACAGACATGGCTAAAGATTTTGACCCAGTAAACAATTATGTATTGTTGCGAAAGCTAAAGTCCTTTGGATGTCAAGATAACCTTATAAAATTATTGACACTTCAGTTTAAAATTCGCACAAATTTCATTAAATTCAACAATATCCACTCATATTCTTTCGTGAACGATTCAGGTGTACCACAAGGTCCACCTTTAGGCCTGCTGCAGTTCGTAGTGTTCGTGAATGATATATCTGATTATATTAGACACTCTAACTTTCTAATACATGCAGATGACTTGAAATTTTTTGAAAAATCGCTTGCTGCTATTGCAATATGAATGATTTTTTCCCAAAGAATCCAACACCATGAAAAAATATTACTCCTGTTACATTGGCAAAAGTACACTGATTCCAATGGCGCTCATCTCGATGAAATTTAATGAGTATTCACTGAGATATTACCGTTTAAAGTATTAAAAACGGAGAAAACTTTTGAAACAACCTAATATATATTTCATTACTTCAACTGATGATTTATTTCAATAATTGTTACTGTGACTATATAGTGACAATATTGTGTGTTGTTTCATCACCTTAATCTTGACTTCACTCTATACATATAATTGGATGTATCTGTTTATATGCGGTGCAAATAAATGAATGAATGTATCCAATTGAATGGAGAGTATGTTGAATAATAAAATACTTCGATTTCTCTATCATAGAAATTCACGGTATATTTTCAGTTTCATATACCCACCTCAACAAATGAAGCCCGTTTTGGAATCTGGCTCATCGATTCAGTTCCTTCTGCAGGTTTCTCAGAAGGAGGCGAAGCGAGATGATTTCTGCTACCTGCGAGAGACTGCCTACTACCGGCCAATGATTGCCGACTACCCGCCAATGACTGTCGGCTGCTGGCAAGCGACATTCTTGAACTACAGCAACCAAAAGTATCATTTGTCAATAGATCATAGTAAATACAATATATTGGATGATGTAACAAAGTAACAATCTACTACACAACACTTTTGCGTTGAAAAAAAACACACAGAGGATCAAACGCTTTCTGTCTCACCTAAGCCCTATAAGATCTTTCGTAGATAAACCAAAAATAAAAATTGTTGATTCACAGACCAAGAATTTGGCTTTAACTATGAGTAAGTTAAGTTTACCGTCTAACCAGACTTGTCAAACTGATTAACCTCAACTGTCTCTAAGCAATTCATTATCAAAGCCACTGTTGTTCAGTGTTGAAAGCGAAACAGTAAAATTTTCAGTGAAACAGAATGAAAATTTGCAAATTTGAACAAACAACTACATGGACTTAAAAGTATCGGGCCTAACACATAGATGACGCTAGTGTTATTGCATTTACTGCTTTTTCAGTTAGTACTAACCTAAAAGAAAGCTGTTGCAATTTTGTGAACTTCAACTCATAACTTTGTGAGTTATTGTGCTAAGAGTGACACTACTTTTGTTATTTTCAAAACAATGGATATTGAATATTGATACTTTTTAGACATCGTAAGATAACATATTGGGAATAGATTATTTTAAAGAAAGAGGCATTTACAAACATTTCGGGGGTATATTGATTCAAAATAAGACAAAAAAGATTCTCAACAAAATTAATCATGAGTGATAGAAAGTAAAATTACTATAATAATCTTAAACACAAAGTAGCTTGGGGTTAGTATAAGTGAATCAGGTCCAATTAGAGCAAAATTTTGAAATATTTATCATCATCCAGAATTATCTAAATGATTATTACATATTTTGGTCAAAGAATGATGCTTCAGGCGAGAAAAACTTGTATTATCTGATGAACAATATTTTAAATTTATGTTTTATGCATTTTGAAAATGGCTGTGTCATAACGAGCCCTCCCTAATAATCAACCAAATAAATATAATAGATAGTAAGTGACAAACGAAGAACATGGATGCAAACATTTTCAAGAGTCGCTTGAAATCTGACAAAGCATTATAATTGAACTTTTATTCAAACTAATTAATGTTTTTTCTGAATGTTAATTGTGATTGCTTCTGATATAACATATTTTATTAGCAAAATTAGTTAACATAAAATGAAATGACATTGTAGGACATGATAAGCTTTTGCGATATTTTTTATATCAATTCTTAAAGACTTTGACACGGTGAATTTTCTGATTCTATATTTTTGAAAAACAGATATATGAGATGCATTCTAAATTTCTAGTAATAAACAGTTCACGGCAAATTTTGAGACCTCTTTATTTTCCTTATTAAAAAACACTTTTAAATCACATGTACCATTTAGTAATCTTCATTATACTAAAATAGAACTAGTGACACATGAAGAAATTAGTGTATAGAGAAATTTGTCCAGTTTAGTGAAGTGTATATGAATCAATATTACAATAAACTGATTCAATTTGTTCTTCATGGATTTTCATTGATCGAATGTATCAAAAAAATATTTGCAATGGAAAGTAACAATGAAAACTAATTTGTGATAATTACACTAGTTTACAAACAATTTACGACTGTATTGCCAAAGGCAGTTTTGTTAATTATTGATCCCTAAATGCGAAAATGATAGTGAAAATTTCCTAACATGTAAGATCTTTGAGTTATGAATTTTTCCACAAAAATTTAATGAACATGATATTCCAAATTTACTTTTCCCCTAAATTGAGGAAATTGTTTAACCCGAACAAATGACGTTTATTCATAGATTCGTCTAAAACAGGTTTAAAAGCCTTTGGCTCCATAATGGTAACAAAAGACCCTCTATTCCTCTTTCACATGCAGTTGCCATAAAGGAAACACATGAAAGTATGTCACTTATTCTAAACGCAATAAGTTATAGTACGTATAGCAAATATGTGGTGACCTAAAAGTCATAGGACTATTACTAGGTTTTCAGGGCGGATTTACGAAGTTTTGCTGTTTTCTTTGCCTTTGGGACAGTAGGGTAACACAGAGCCATTATCAAGTAAAATAATGACCTCTGAGAGATAAATTTATTCCAGGTCAAGCTAACGTGAACAATATACCTCTTGTTAATCCCAAAAACGTTTTGTTACCCCATTACACATGAATCTGGAGTTAATGAAAATTTTTGTAAAAGCATTAGACAAAGAAGGTGATGCGTTTAAATATCTTTTCCACGTTTTTCCAAAATTAAGTGATGCAAAGCTCAAGGAAGATATATTTGTTGGACCACACATTAGAAAACTACTAAGTGATCAACGGTTTGAAGAACAATTAAGTAATGTTGAATTAGCTGCATGGAGTTCCTTCAAAAGAATTGTTTCGGAATTTTTAGGGAACAAGTAAGTAGAAAATTACGAAACACTTGTAGAAGAACTACTTGAAAACTACTACAGAATGAGATGTCGCATGTCTCTCAAAATCCATTTCTTACACTCCCATTTGAATTTTTTCCCAGAAAATGTTGGTACTGTCAGTGACGAACAAGGGGAAAGGTTCCACCAAGATCAAGACATATTGACAATGGAGCAACTTTACCAAGGCAAATGGATGCAGCAATGATGGGGGATTATTGTTGGTTCCTTATGAGGGAAAACGATGAAACATATAAACGAAAGTCAACATTTGCAAAAGGGTTATGCACAAAAGACTTCATTTGAATGTTTTTTTATGTGTATTGTAAATAAAGTCTGTTGTCCTCAAAATATATTGTTTTTTTCTCTTGTTTTGATCTTAAATTTCCCTATGTGAAAATTTTTGTATAAAATAAAAATAACTATAACTCAAAATCTTTACGTGATGGAAAATTTTTGATGTTGAAGTCGCAGTTATGATGTTTTAAACTCTCATGTATAGCCACTATAATATCAGTCGCATTTTTTTTTTCTTATTTGTTGGCTAGTGTTATAGGCATGAATATAAATAACGATATTGTATGAGTATAAAAATGAGCGGGATACCTTGATGCGGAAAGTGAAGGGGTTCCCTTTGGAGATGTTTTTCGCCGAACTCTAGCGAAGCAGCATGGAATAAATGAAAAATGTTAGTGGTACGAATGAATTAAAATTAAATAATGTATGAACGTTCAATGAATAATAAATAATAATTTGTTGCACATATTACATAAACATATGTAACAGCCACTCAAAAGGAAACAATTTTTATAAGGTGGCCCCCTAATTCATGGTTTATGGAAGCATTCTACGACGGAGTGTGGTTCGAGTTCAATAGTGGTTTCTTGCTGTTTGAAAATACTGTTTAGATTTGATATTTGCAAATTGTTTCAAACTTTTACATATGAATACAGAGTTCAATTCTCTAAGAGGAGAGATGATGACATGGTATATTAAAATTTTCCGAATGCATGGTGTTATACAGGGTGTTTCAAATTCTATCCTCACCATTAGGATTGTAGAAACTATGAGAGATACAAAGATGGTTAAATTGGGGCAAAGTTGCGCATTTACTTGACTAACAATATGCCGTTGAGAAACTTCGGAAATTCCTTCTATATCCGGAGATATCGGGAAAAAAACAGAATCTACATTTCTACCATATTCCCAAAAATCGACAAAAAATGTGAAAATTAGATCTTTGTATGTAAATTTGCATTGCGGCTGCGTTTCAACCACAATTTAAGTTTTTAAATAGAAAGTGACAATTGATTGAATTAATTAATTGATTGTGCTGAGAGTGGATGTCAAAAAGGTGAAGTTGGTCAATCAAAGAAGTAATTCTATCCAACTTTACTTTTTTGACATCTTCTCACAACACAAGAAACCAATCAATTTTTACTCATTTTATTCAGAAAACATCCCATTCGGTGTGGTAAAAATAAAAGTATATTTTCGTGTGTTATATATTCAAATATATAATCATTACACTATTACTCGGTAGTAATGTAATTAAAATTAAACATTAATAACGTAACTTCTGCACTACAATAATTTTAATAGGAGGGATGTAGTTGTTGATTGATTGATAGCAAATTATCAATATATGGCTTCAGTTTTGTTAGGAATACCGCAAATGTCCCCGTACGGTTATATTCAATCTGCTCCTTTTTCTTTCGGCTTTCTGTTTATGGAATTATTTAATAATGGCACTGTTCAGTATTCAATTTTCAATATGTACCTACTGCACGCAAACATTACAAATATATTACAACACTACCACAAGGTAGTCTGCTTGGTCCCCTATTATTCATTCTGCATCTGAATGATATACAATTATTTACAGACTGAGTTCATCAACTTATTTGCAGATGATACCTTATTGGCCTGTACTGGAGTAAATTTAGAAGAAACTGTTGGCAGAATGAATATAGTTCTAGAGAAAGTAGAAAAATATCTGAAAACCAATAAAATGAAACAACGTTAAAAAAACAAAAGCAATGATAATTACTACTGAATTCAAATATGATCAAATAAATACAAACAACATAAATATAAAAATTGAAGATGAACGTATAGAAATGGTAACATCAGTAAAATGAAACTTAACGTTAAAAAACAAAAGCAATTATGAAAAATGTTAGTGGTACGAATGAATTAAAATTAAATAATGTATGAACGTTCAATGAATAATAAATAATAATTTGTTGCACATATTACATAAAATGATGTAACAGCCACTCAAAAGGGAACAATTTTTATAAGGTAGCCCCCTAATTCATGGTTTATGAATGCATGGTGTTATACAGGGTGTTTCAAATCGATCCACACCATTGGGATCGTAGAAACTATGAGACATACAAAGATGGTTAAATTGGGGCAAAGTTGCGCATTTACTTGACTAACAATATGCCGTTGAGAAACTTCTGAAATTCCGACTATATCCGGAAATATCGGGAAAAAAACAGAAATTTAGGAAAATGTTTTTTTTCCTGCTTAATTTTTGAAGGATTCCAAAATAAATTGGACTTCCACATTAGACATTTTGTCCTTTTCAATGAAAATAGAACTTTGAACAAATAACAAGAATTAACTTAAATGTGAATTTAAAACTAAATCACAGCAAATGCTCAAAATGCTGGCCTTATTCATGATAACACAACTGTGCCCTTCTTCGAATATTATTTATTGCACGATTAATTTCCCTCCTCCTCAATCTTCTGAACTCTAACAATGCTGTGTTGAAGGTCCTCAATATTTTGATATTCCCTCTGTCCATAAACTCTATTTTTCAGTGTACCCCATAAGTATGTATCCATAACACTTAAGTCTGGAGACCTTGCTGGCCACCTCACCGGCCCATTATTCCCTATCCATATATCACCAAACCTTTTAGTCGGGTAATTAGTCTGGTAGTGTGCAGTGGAGCACCATTATGTTGAAACCAGATGCTGTTATAGTGATAGTTGATAGGTTTCTCCATTCCATACACGTTAATACTAAATCGCACTTGAGGTCGAATTTCTTGGAACTGTCTGGGGTTGTTTATGCTCCAAATGTGTTCGTTATTTCGGTTGAATATCCCACAATTCGTAAAAGTGCTTTCATCTGTCCAAATTACATTTTTCAGAGAGACAGGAAAATCAGGTCTTCTCATTAGCCAATTACAAAATTCTAATTGTCTTTCGGGATCACCAGGATGCAATTTTTGAGATTTATGTATTTTGTAATATTTAAAACCACTTTTTGAGATGTCTTAAAGCACTTGTATGACAAATATTCATTTTAGAGGAAATTTGATGTGTAGATTTCCCCAGGTTTATCTGCAAATTATGAATTTTTTATTGAAAAGGACATAATGTCTAACTTACCTCATTCATAAAATTTTCTTTAGTTTCCTGGTCCATTCTGTCTCCATATTTTTCCTCGGCTTTTCAAATGAACCAAATTCTGTGAGATTTTGATCCAATAACTTGAACATAGTTCGATGTGGTTGTCGACTTTTGGGATACAAGTTCAAATACATTTCCGATGTCCTAACATTGTTTCTATCCTATATGTAATATATTTGTATCATATCTCTTTTTTCTTCATTGGTGAAAGCCATTTTCCGCCAAAAATTCAATGACTTGTACAATAACAAAATGTCATTGAGTGTAACAAATTGAAAGTCAAATTTAGAAACATCAAAGTCAAACCCTATTATAAGAATTATTTTTTTTCAATATCTCCAACTTTTCAAAAAAGAATAATAACTTATGATACATCATTGAAAAGGTAAAAATCTGGTTCTATACAAAACAGAAAGAATCCAATGTAGCGCCTCTAAGAAAAAATAAAGTTGATGATGGTTGCTGGAAGACGAAATGTTGAATAGCAAATCTGAAAACACCATTATGTAGCAGAAAAACAGTGGTAGTGTGGAAGTGCAATTTGGTTCTATACAAAACAGAAAGAATCCAATGTAGCGCCTCTAAGAAAAAATAAAGTTGATGATGGTGGCCGGAAGACGAAATGTTGAATAGCAAATCTGAAAACACCATTATGTAGCAGAAAAACAGTGGTAGTGTGGAAGTGCAATTTGTTTTCGAATCCTTCGAAAAATAGAGCCAGAAAAAATAAAAACCATTTTCCAAAATTTCTGTTTTTTCCGGATATACTCTGAATTTCAGATCTTTCTCAATGGCATATTGTGAGTCAGGTAAATTCGCAACTTTGCTGAGGATCGAATTTGAAAAACCAAATTGTATGCTTGTCAAAATAATGTCTACTAGTATTATTGAAAAGGAGTTTGATAGACTCCCTTTGCAGAATTCATTATAAGGCAACTCTTTCAATATACATATTACACTTTTCTGGATAATAAAAAATATTGGCACTACTAGTTCCACCCCATATCTATCTCTGGAATAGAAATTAGCATAATGAATAGTTTTTGTGATAGAAATATTTGTATTTTTGTTCACAATTTCTAATCCATAACATGTTTCACGGACTTTTTTTGTAAGATGATCCACGCCATAGGAAAAGTTTAATCTTTTATCTCTTAGGCATTTTATATTACCAGTGTTCAAATTATTTATTATTTATGTACATATACGTACGCACACCCCTATACACATAAAAATGTCGAACTGAAACTAAAGGATTATTATTATAAAGAAGCTGTAAGAAACAATCCCTTTTGGGCTGTTTTACAAATTGTGTAGTCCCCCTAAAAGCTTTTATTTTAGCTATACTGGAGCTATGATTGCAAGAAAATTGCATTTTTTCGTAATACTGTTGTATCATACTATAGCTTTTTAGTTAAAAAAAACATTTCAGGGTCGTCAAGTTGTATACCAATTCCCATACCTATAATCAATAATTCAGCTACAAGAAATCATTCTTGACAATGAATACAATTGGGGTTTCGGCTGAAATATGAATCTTCTCAATGTACCTAATAATTATTTTAATGAATAAGAATGTCATGAGGTACTCACGTGGTAGGTTTAGGTTTTGTGCCTATCCTAATTGAGATGCATGAAACATTTCAAAACTGTATGGTGAAAACAAATTAAGCTCATAATGACTCACCTGCTCTGACGGTTCCTGGCAATTTTAGAAACACCAGCTTGGCCTTCATTCCAGTTTTCAATAGGTTTACCATTTTCATCAAGTGGTACTACCTGTGAATCCCTTACAAACATTCCATGGTTTTCTTCACACTGTTTGGAAAAAGAAATAACATTCATTCGTTTACTGTGTAAAATGATGCATAAAATTTATGACGTATTAATTAATTGTCCTGATTGGTTATCGCTCGCAAACATAAAATGTTTTCACATAATACAGCACCCTGAAAAGTGAGTTCATGAATAATCATATAATAAATATAGTTATATACATCTATACATGTCTAGTTATTCACTAAAAATTAAAAATTCATCAACGTATAAGCAATTGTCAAGAACTTGAGAGGTTCATATTTTAGTATGGTCTCACTCTACTTTGGTATCTAAAATTCAAGCGCTTGGTAGAACAACTCTGTCTGTAAAATACAGAGATACAACATCTACGCCCATTCAGGTTTCATCAGGGGTACCGCAGGGATCCCATATGGGCCCACTCACTTGTTTGTATCGGACATAGAGTTTGTTTTCAAATATTCAGAATTTCTTATGTTTGCGGATTATCTCAAATTTTATCGAGCAATTACTTGTCGGGAAGATGATGAATTAGTTCATAAAGATCTCGAAGCTTTTTCGATGTGGTGTAGAAATAATTTGTTACATCGATAAGTGTCAAATCATTATGTTCACTAAAATTAGAAGTCCAATATTCTTTGGATATAAATTGAATAATATAGCTCTTGAAAGAGAAACATTTATTCGCGATCTTGGAGTTAAATTTGATAGCGAAATTAATTTTAATCTTCAAGTATCAGAAATTGTGGCAAAAAGTCTCAAAATGCTAGGTTTTGTCTTGAGAATTTCTACTGATTTTTCAATTGAAACAAAAAGGATTTTATATTGTGCTTTTGTAAGATCCATTCTCGAATATTGTTCAATTATATGAGACCCATACTATGTGAATATTGATTTGATTGTGAATGTTCTAAAAAAATTTTTAAGGAATTGTGCTTTTCACTGTGGTATTCAACGAAATGAATATGAACTCTAGTCAACTCTTAACAAAGTTAAATATAAAATCATTGAAAGATAAAATTTCTATGAACTTGAGTTTCCTCTTCAAATTAATAATAATAAATAGTGAGATAAACTGCCCAGAACTACTTCAACTAATAACTTTTCATATCAAACAAAAAGATATGAGAAATCCTGACATTTTTCATATACATTTTTTCCATACCAATTATGCTTTGAACTGTCTGATTCCTCGTATTCTGAAGCTGGGAAATCTATTTAATGTGTCACTTTACTTCTTTAAAAATTGATTGAAATTGCTATAGCATTTCCAAAGCTTTTCTTTACCTTACCATTTTCTTTGTAAGTATCAGATTTGTTACATCTTATTCCTTGTAAGTACCAGATTTGTTTCATCTTTTAGTAATGCAGTCACTAGACATAAGGATTCATTAATTTATATTTCACACTTTGCTAAATGTTTTGTAAAATTGTATTGTAGATTTTAGACATGAGCATTAAAAAATACTTTGTAGTTCGTCACACTTTGTTAAATATGTTCTTGTAAATTGGCTTTGCCGTTGAATAAATAAATGAATTATTGAAATTTCAAAATAAAGTGTTAATTAATTATGTTGTCTTGAATTTTCATCAACTATTGACCAATTGCATCACATAAAATTGATAAATCCATACTTATAAATGTGAAAGTCACTCACTTAACACTCATCATCTCTGTTTCTCCGTACTGGTGAGTCTTAGGGAGCTAAAATTTGGTATATAGGTGCTTCTAAGGTCTTAGATGCGAAATGAGAAAGGATTTCAAAATATTTCAACTGGATCGACCCCCTGGGGATAAAAGAGGCGGGTGTACATATGAAAATTACCTTTTTATCACTGTTTCTCTGTACCGCTATATTTTTGGAGGCTGACATTTTGTATGTAGGTTCGTCTTATAGTGCAGATGTGCAATAAAACATTTTTTTTTTATATTTTAACTGGGGTGCCCCCACTGAAGATAAAAGGGGCGCGTTCACATATGAAAATTACCAAATTAGCATCATCAGGAGATGACTAAAATTCAAATAACCTTAAATATGATTATCATGGACTTTCAAGAATCAGCCAATTCCAAGTATAACTTGAAAATATATTATGACATGCCTCTTTGTGACTGGTAATAGGAATGTTATACTTTCAAAGTTTGGAAAGAGTGGATTCATACCAGTCTTAAGTAGTAGGTTGCGAGATTTAAGTCCTAAGAATTCATGTTCGCTACTATTAAAAAAACAATTTCTCGTGCACATAGATATTATGGCACTCAGCCTTTGAAGGGTTGAAACAGAAGACTACACCGTTGGTTCATTATCAAATATTATGGCTAATCTTGATATTATTCTTTGACTCTGGTAAACTCACAGCATAAACCCAACATGCTGCTTACCTTAAAATATTCATGCCCTTTAACAGATCCATTATTTTTCCCTTTAGGTTCATCAAGAACTAATCCGATCCAATTTCCAGCAGCAAAATTGGTTTTGCCAACAAAAGCGACGATCCCCTGAACTCCTTTTCCTGTAACTTCTACTCTTCTACCGATTTTCATGTACTCAGACATGTCTCTTAAACGATTTTAAATTTTTAATTTCGATAAACTACGAAGTAATATTCATTAAAATTACATAGAAATGGGTAAATACTGAAATATCAACTGAAACAGTTTTGAATTACATTTCAAACATTGCACGTATTTTTGTATGATCTGTCAGGGTTTTGTCTCGTTGACAGTTGTTCTGCTCTTGTCAAATAATGAAATAATTGACAATGCGTCAATGTCATTAACGTCAATTTGATCACAGAATACTTTCAATCTCAGGGTTACTCCGCATTTTGTGATTCGGTTGCATGAAGAATAGAGAGTTCTGTTACACTCTGTTAGGTTACATGAAGACCATTCATTAATGGTTAATTATTTATCAATTATATGCGTTAGTATCATATATCCTCATCTCCATGAAGAAGTTGTAATAGTGTTCCTGTATTCTCCGATTCTCATTGCTCTGAGCTAGGATTTATAAAAAATTTAAGAACGATAAATATTCTTTTACTATTTATGGAAACTTCAAGATGTATAGAGATATTACTGTTTTGACCGATTTGCTTTTATTTTGTCGAAAACTCGACTTATTCGTTGGAGACACCAATATGAAGTAAATGTGAAGATTTCACCAAAAACCTTTGGCGTTTCTGGCGCTCATGTATCCAAAACGTATTCGTCTGTGATTCAAATACATTCATTCTGGCGTTGGAACGATGACGTCACATCAACTATGATTTGAAAGGTATTCATAATGATTCAAAACTAGATGTGTTTTCTGGTGCTCATGTATTTAAAACGTATTCGTCTGTGATTCACATACATTCATTCTGGCGTTGAAACGATGACGTCACATAAACAATGATTTGAAACGAATTCATATGATTCAAAACTAGCGTGAGGTTTTGAAACGGAATTTGACATTACGTTACGTCAGTTGTCAGTTTCTGCTTTATTTTGATCCTTATAGTTGATAAAATGCTGAAAACTTTTCATCAAATCATTGTGAGGATGTACAAAATAAAGCTGGAAGATTTTTACTCGCACAAATCCGATTTTAATTGAGGTTAGAGAAAATCAGGCATGTTTTCAAATATATGTCATACCGGGCTCTCACATAACTAATAGTCGAGGTTTATAGTAATGGATTCAGTTCGGTTGACAAATGATATTTACAGAAATACAAGAATAGCAAAACAATTCTTATTCGAGGATTTTGGCAGACGTTCATTTTATTATGACATAGTTACATATCATCCATTTACTCAATCTGTCAAATATGTCCAAGCATCACTGGTGCTTTCAAATTGAAGCATGAAATTTTTTTTTATAATCTCTCTGAATAAAAACTCTATTATAATTTATATTTTGATTGAAATCTCTTATGGAATTCAATACTTCACTCCCCACTTTTGTCAGTTATAAACATTGAACATATTTTTTTGTAATTATAGAAATATTGCAATAATGTCAAGTATTTTTTGGTTTAGTACCCAACTATACTCGACTTGGTTTAATTGGGTTTTATAGATTGCCTGAAGAGTGATGCACTGTTCGAAACATTCGCGGTAGTAATGAATATTACTGTAGTTCTATCCTAACACCAAACCGTTGTTTTCAACACTTATAGAAGATTGAACTGATGTAATTTTCCTTTTGAAGATGATCACTTGGTGATTGCAACACGTGTCGAGGTGTTGAAAATAACGATTTGGTGTTGGGATAGAACTATAATAATATGCATGCCTGATGAATGGAAAAGAAAACAATCGTCGACCACAGTCGAAGGAATTCGATTGTCGCAGCAATTGAGAAAAAAAAAAGAAAAAACTCAAATATTCCCTGTTAAAAAAATGTTTTTAAGACTGAAGTGATTTTTCCTATTTGTTATGCGGATATAAAAAAACTATCTACGTAGTTAATATATCGATAAAATATTGAATGCCTACAATCAATTACATGAGTAATGAATTAGATAAACGTTTCCTTCTTTCTCTAAAGGCTTTTCTTTGAAAAAAAAGCTATGGAACACAGGTGATAAGAAATTACCGAACGTGATACCGTGGTCGGTCCACGTTTCAACTGGGTTAGGTCACAGATATGCTGTGGTTAAGTCAGTTTTTACTCAAACCACAGAACAGAAACAAATTCTGTGGTTAAACATTAGGTCTTTTATTTTTATTCTGATAAATATTTGACCAGTTATTTTCAGAAAATTCTAAATAATTTTTTCTGTTTCTCTTATCTTCAATGAAAAAATCGATTTGAAGAAGGTAGGCCATTCGAATGCGAATGAGAGAACAATCGCTGATCTTTTATTGGTTGAATGACAACCACGCTCATTTCGTTACGTCGTTTTGAAAAAAAATGTTAACGTTGGCAGCACCGTCGGTCGCGACCGCCATCTTGATGTATCGAGGTGGGGATACGAAGTGAACTAGCTTTGGCGTTTCGATAAATATAATTTCACGAAAGTGGCTTTATTTCCGATACGGATCAAAATAATTCTATACAGAGTTTTTTGTTGATATTTCTGTTCCTCTGGCGCGATTCCTGAAAAGTGCGTGTGTTTATGTGTAATTGCACTAAGAAGATTGTCCAACTGGAAATCTAACAGCGTGGCTCTGTAAGCTTCTCTTTGTTTCTGTCACGGATTAATAATAAGGTGAGTAGGTATTTTATTATTTCACTTTTTATGGCTTTCTGCGACAATTGATATTTTCCTAATGTTGAACGTCTCTAAACGATGTTTTTTAAGCGGATCCGGTTTCGATTTAGCCGCTACTGGCCACTGTTGATCAGTGCCCGCTTTTTATTCGGTTAGTACATTCTTTGATATGCCAATCATGTTTGTGTGTGATGTGTTTACTGTTTACCGGCTTCACTCTATTAACTGTTTAATTCCCAGGGATTTCACTGAATATCTGTAATATGACTAATAACGATGCCATATATCAGCAAAATTTTCAGTTTGTGAATTTTCACCATATTTATTTTTCAGATGGTGACATTGACCCATATTTAATTCCAAATGTGACCTGAAAATATTTTTGGTTTTTTAAAGCTTCTATTGTTGTGTTGAAATGGCTTCGAATAGCAATCTGAGGAAATATTTTCTACAAGGTGTTGGCTCAAAAACTGCACAATATTACATACCAAATTGCCAAAACAGGTTGACTCATTATGGTTTACAAGTGTTGATTGTGAGAGTTCAACCCCTTTTCCAAAAGCAGCCCCATGTTTGACGTACTACTTAGCACTTTCCAACAAATATTTGGAATAATCTATATATATGGTTCAGGTTCCACAAAATTATGCTTGTGCTCAGGTTTATTCCTTATAGTCTATACAAAGTCAATCCGAACAGCTAAATAAATTATTATTGTTTAATGGAGAAATAACAAATATGCGTGAAGCTTTTTACTGCATCATTTGAAAAAAAGAAGTTTTCTCGGACACACACTGATAACTCCGATGCTGGATTTTAAGGTTAAGTAAAGCTAGACAGGAAGTACTTTAATACAAGCATTAACGCATTAACAACAACCAAATATAAAGTGAAAACCTGATGTAGAATTTGTAATTGTCAATTGTTGAAAATAAGGGTTTTATGCTCTAATTGGTTATCCTGATGGAAAATTCCGCAAGAAATGAAACATAACCATCTCTTACATTACAAATATATTGTTGCGTCTAAGGACCAGCATTTATTAATGAATGGAAGTTAACCTGGCATTTTATGTTTGTACGGGATGACTTGCGTTTGCATTATGTTAGAGTTATTCGAATTATAAATTAAGCTTGAGACTACCTCATCCTGTATATATGTGTATATCAACATTTACTCGATATCTAAAAGAGGAATTCTAACAATTAATGTTTCTCAAATCAATCTTAATGCCTGTGTAAACACTGTTTCTATTGAATTTTATCAAACTTGTTTAATAAAGCTGAACTTTTTGGAAAGAAGTTTAGCATTGTGAAACCGGATTTAATGACTTGTGTAAACACCTATTGATTAGGTGTAATAATTTAGTGACATGAAAACTTCCTAGAGTGTGTCGAAGACTCAGTTTCTTTTCAAAATAAGGACTAATTCAACAAGACGCCTGGATAAAAATGAAACTGCTGCCTGCTTGATTTGACAAGAAAAAGCCAAGTGGTTGATGAAATTAGACGGGAAAAGATTCAAGTTGATCAAATATTTTCTCATTGTTAGATGAATGCATGTTATAGACAAATGCTTATAAGTATTGTACAATTATTAGGTCTAGTTCTAAAAAATCTATATATGAAAAAACATATGAAAATATACAAGTAAGTTGAGCAAGTACAACAATATGAAATGATATAAAATATGTTGAACTTGAATAATCAGAAGGAAATTTCAGTGGGAGCTATGCCAAAAAACTGCCGAACATATGCAAGTGTGTTTTTGGTTTCTTTCAAGAAAAATTTGAATTTCTGGTGCATTTTCAGTTTTTTCTTGAATATAGGGCGTTACTACACAAACATCGAAATAATATGGTCTCAGAAAAAAGTATTGCTATCACTAAAGGTATTTCCCCAAAGTTTTGCATTTTATGGAAAAAACCTCAATTTTCTGGCAGTACATTTACCAAATTTACTAACAGTCATATGTGTTATGTTTGCAACATTGCTAGCCAAAGACATATTTTATAAAGGTACACGTTTAGTTACAATTGATCTGTGTAAATAAATAAATAAGTAGAATTTGGAACCTCTGACAAAAGATGTGTGAATATTTCCAGAGAGTGGATGAGAGAAACTTTATTCTTATAACAAACAACAGAATAATCAAGAATCACCAGATTGGCAAACTGTCATGTGAATCACCTGCAGCTACATTTCTACCATATTCCCAAAAATCGACAAAAAATGTGAAAATTAGATCTTTGTATGTAAATTTGCATTGCGGCTGCGTTTCAACCACAATTTAATTATTTACAGACTGAGTTCATCAACTTATTTGCAGATGATACCTTATTGGCCTGTACTGGAGTAAATTTAGAGAAACTGTTGGCAGAATGAATAAAGTTCCAGTGAAAGTAGAAAAATATCTGAAAACCAATAAAATGAAACTTAACGTTAAAAAAACAAAAGCAATGATAATTACTACTGAATTCAAGTATAATCAAAGCAATACAAACAACATAAATATAAAAATTTAAGAAGGACATATAGAAATAATAAGAAGAATCGCCAATAACTTATCAACACATACAAACATTATGATATGATACAATAATCCAACCCCATTTTGACTACTGTGCATCTATTTTATTCTTTTTTAATTTGAACAAAGTGCAACAAATACAAAAACTACAAAATCGAGGAATGAGAATAATTTTGCTGCTCTACAATGGCTCTCAGTATCCAGAAGATTATTCTATTGTTCCATGGTTTTCATTTATAAAATATTAAATAAAATGACCCCACCATACTTGCTATCATCAATAACTTTCAATAAGGACATTCATCACCATTCTACTACTAGGCACAACAGTCACATTCATATAAATAGAACAAATACAAGAAATAGTATGAGCAGTTTATTTTTAAAGGTTTTGTCCAATTCAATGATTTACCCGATTCAATTAAATCTTCTCTATCATTTAAGATTTTCAAGAGAGAACTGTTAAAAGAAATTCATGATGGAAATTGAAAAATTCCTTTTTGTTCAGTTCAAATTATGTATGTATATAAAGTTGTATTATTTATATAAATTTTGTTGATCATATTATACTTTAAGTTGGCTAACCTGTATATTAGGGAATCCTAATTCAATAATAAAAAAAAATATTCAAAATAAATATATCTCCAATCGCAGGTGGGTTGGAAGAGATTTCTTTCAGGAATGAGCCTCACCTTTTGTGCCTTCTCTCTGAACATGAATTAGTGGAATTTATCTGAAATAGTGAATGCTAATTTTAGATGAAGATCGTACTACAATTTTCCAAAGTGGTACGATATTCACCTCGTATTTAAAATTTATATCGGCAGAGAATCAGAAATTGCAGCTTCATTTTGTCTCACTCTCTCTTTTATATTTTCAATAAATATATCCAGTCAGGTGTGTCTTCAGATTATTGGAAACAATCTTATGTCGCCCCAATATACAAATCGGGTTCTAAGTCGGATATTAACAATTAGCGACTTAGTTCAATTCCCAAGATATTTGAGAACGTTCTGGCTGATTTACTTACCTATGATTGCTCTGGCATCATAACTGAACAACAATATGGTTTTTGTGCTGGGAAATCGACTGAATTAAACCGACACTTCATGTCGGAATCTTTGGATAAGGACTGCCAGATTGATTCTGAGTAAACTGACTTTTGACAGGCTTTTGACAGGGTCAACCATGGATCAGTAGCTATCTTACGAATATGACTCAAATGGTTAGAGCAAATTATTACTCTAGATTATTCGAAGTAACCTTTGGTGTTCCCCAGGGGTCACACCTCCTTATTATTCAATTTATTTATGAACGACATTATTCATTGCTTCCGGCACGCCAAAGCACTACTGTTTGCATATTACTGGAGTTTTTTCCCAATACCAATCCGTTATTTTAATACCTCGATCCGTGTTTCGATCACCTAGTGGTCATCTTCAAGTGGAAGATCAAATTAATCATCCATAAACGTTTTCGTACCTGAACTTACTATATGGGCTGCAAAGTGTCGGGCCTAACAGATAGGTGGCGCTAGTCTTATCGCATTCACTGCTTTTTCAGTTAGTACTAACCTTCAAAAGGAAACTCTTGAAATTTCATGATATTCTACTCATAAGTTTGTAAGTTTTTGAGCTGAAAGTGACACTACTTTGTTATTTTCAAAACAATGGATCAAAAACAATTTCATTTTTATATTTTCCACTGCCTATTGATAGAAAAAAAACCGTTCAAGCGAAGCAATGGCTTGAAAAGTGTTATAAGGGCTCCGCTCCACCAGAAACAACAATTAAAGGTTGGTTTACTGACTTCAAAAGTGGTCGTAGAGATACCAATGATACAGAACGCTGTGGACGCCTAAATGAGGCAGTAACAACACCAGAAAAAATCCAAAAAATTATTTTGAATGATCGAAAAGTGAAGTTGACCGAGTTAGCTGACATTGTAACGAACTCAGAGTAAGAAAAGACAATAGAGAGGCCTTTTGTATTCTCACATTGAAGGCAGCATAACTTTGTTTGTTTACGGGAAGTTCAGGTCATCAGCAAACAAAAGAAATTCACTATAAAGAACAACATCTTTCAAGTCATTAACAAATAGGTTGAAAAGCAATGACTCTGAATGAGAACCCTGTGGTACACCTGATGAAACTGTAATTGAGGAAGATACTGAGTTACCATATTTTACAAATTGTACTCTGCACGCTAGATAATTTTTAATCTATCTCAGAATGTTTTCTTTACTAATCATCAACTGCATTTATTAGATCCATACCTACCAAAAAACATATTTCCAATGACAACAACGATGTGATTCTTCCCGGCCTAGTCCTAGTACTTCCCGGCCGGAAAAAATGCTTCCTTCTCAGGAAGAAAGCGTTGTTGAAGTGGGTACTTTCCAGACAGTTGTCAAAAAAATATATTTCATTAATTTCACTACAAGTGACCTTTTTATCGAGGTGTTTTTCA